ATTTGCAAGGAAATCAAGAAAATAATTCATGTCCTTCGCTGTGAATTAAGTGGATCTAAAACCATTTTTTTCTTTTCATACCATAACTTTAAGGAAAAGATGTGAATTGGGAAGATAAAATAAAATAAACAACATAAATAATATCAACTCATATCACATGTAAATAAAACTTTGCGGGAACTTGCTAAAATTCACATTTTTACCATAATTTTTAATACTCTTCAATTTCTCATTATCCGAATGTAATAACTTCCACTGTTTTGTATTAAGACCACAAGAAATACTACTAAAATTTATTTGAATTCATCTATCTTTAGATCTTGTATTGCCTTCAAAGCTTATGAAAATTCCAAAACCCAAGAAAAGGTAGATGATAGTTAAAGGATAAATCTATTAATCATGTATATTACAGTTAATTAAATTTAGTTCACAATTAAAGGATAAACCTATTGAACAACTTACAGTGTTTTTTTTTTCATTTACTTAAATAAATTAAAGTTCCAAAGAAACAATTTTAGAAATATAATAGAGTAAGAGCACCAGTGATGGACATTTTTGTCTTTTTTGGCTTATGCCGCCATAATTATTATAGTCATGAACTTCTACATTGGATATTTAGAATCTTTAGGGTGGGCAATCTCCTTGAACAATTGGTTGGCATAGATTTTCAGATCAAACAATTTCACATGCCTCCAGACTATGAACTGAGGCACCGAAAGGAGCTGTAGAATTTCTGGTATTGTCCCATTCTTGTCCCTTTGAGTAGAGCCACGGATGATTCACCGAAGGACAGAGATTTGTAAGCTTGAGAAGATTTGTAGCTTGATTTTTAAGGAGAGCTGCGGTGACATCAACAAGTAATAGAACCGGTTAGCCTTCTGCCCGCCCAGCTTGAGCCTCTGCCTGATATGACTGGAGAAGGTGAGGTGCCTATCCAATGTAGAGGAAGGAAGTGGAGATGCGTTAGTTTGTCAGATATTTAATTTTGATTAAGATACACTTCTATTTGTTAATTTCCATGGGAGGATAAATGAAATTTCGTGCTTGTTAATGATTTGTGGAAGGCAAACCTTTTTGATGAAAGTGGTTTGTACCTTCATTATTTTCCCCTCCATCCTCCTTAGAACAGTGGTTCCATTATTCTGAAACTCCATGTTTAATGTGCTTTAATTAGGAGGGGAAAAAAAGGTTGAATTTTATCCATCTTAACACCATAAATCGCCATACAGATAAGAATTCACCTATCAAATCTGTTTCAGGTAGACAAGCAGTACCACCTACACTCCACAGATAGCAGCACGCTTGTAAATTAAAATAAAGGACAAAGTAAAAAAAATGATATGGAATATATTAAGAATATTCATAGAAAAATTACAATAAAATAATAAATTTGCTAATAAATATGTAACTTAATGAAAATATTTGATGTTGAAAAAGTTATGAAGATGGACATTCGAAAAAATCAGACTCAAATATGAATAGAAATAAAAAATGGTTTATAATATTAGAAATAAAAATGTGATTTTTCTTTCTTTTATACTAAAAGAAAATGGAATAAATATTATGATTTGTATTTTTGTTAGTGAATAAAATTGTCATTAGGATAGCACTACCCTCTGACATTAATTCAATATTATTAGAACATAATGTGTCACATAAAAATTTTAACTTCTGTGGATTTTTTAGTTCTGTGGGTTTCACTAAAAATAGCAACTCAAATAAACTACACATTAGAATCATGTGTAATTCATTTAAGAAAAACTATAACTCTAGTCTATTCCCAATTATAAACAACATATTCCCATCCTCCTGGAAAACTGCCCTAGTCCAACCTTTGAATAAAATTTTCAACCTTACCTCACAGCATGATTTCCATCCTATTTCTCTCCTATCAAACCTTTCAAAGTCGTTAGAATGCCTTTTCCAAAATCACTTCTCCAACTTACTAGTGAAACGTTCCCTTATCAACCCATTCCAATCTGGCTTTTGACCTGGCTACTGAACGTAATCTGCTCTCCTTAAAATAACCTATGATCTCCAATACTCCATTGAACACCAAAACCTTACTATCCTCATCCTTCTAGATTTTTCCAAAGCGTTTGACACAGTTGACCATAACACCCTCCTTACTAAATTGCACAATATTCCTCTATCCAACAGTGCCCTGCGTTGGTTCAAATCCTTCCTTTTAAATCGGTCCAGTATGTAGTCGTCCCAGGTCAACCTCCATCTAAGACCCTCCCCATCTCCTGTGGTGTCCCTCAAGGTTCCTCTCTATGTCCTACTCTGTTTGCTATTTACATTAATGACCTTCCCTTCCTGATCCATCACTCCCAATACCATATCTAGTATGCAGATGATATCCAAATATGACTGTCCTTCCCGCCCTCCGACCTATTATCAGCCACAGAAAAACTTCAAGAAAACTTGGATAGGATTTATGACTGGCCGAGAACTCACAAGTTGAAGTTGAATGCGGAAAAGACTAAGACAATGCAGTAGCTTATTAAGACAATCTTAGTAGGCTCCAATCACCTCCTTAAAACTGTTCCTAATATTCTAACTCTGTTTCTACATGATAATCCCATCAAATTTTGTCCCTCTATCAAAAACCTTGGAATAATCTTTGATCAAGCACTTTCCTGGAAAAACCATGTATCCAATATTTCCCACTGTACCATTTCCACCTTAAAACGTTTAAATTACTTCCGTCTCCTATTTCCCCTTGAAACCTGTAGATTCCTAGTCACTTCCTTAATTTTTCCCCACTTTGACTATTTCAAAACGGTCTATGGAGAGAGGTCTCTAGGGATCTGAAGGTTAAATTAAAACGTTTGATAAATTGTTGTGTACGATTCATCTTCGGGATTCCAGGGGACGCCTCTGGTTTCTGTGTTTATGCAGAGTTGAAGTGGCTTTATCCTTCCTACTACCGTAAGTATTTCCTGGTATCCTTCCTCTTTAAAGTCATCCAATCCCACCACCTTTCATACATCTCCAAACTCCTTTAATTCAAACCCTTTGTTCGTTCCCGCAACACTCATTCCTGGTGTTCTGATTTATAGATAAGGCCCCACTTTTATAGATCGTTTATTATCCGATCCTCATACCTATGGAACTCCATCCCTTCCCACATCCGTAAATCCAATACCCTTCTTATCTTTGAATCCCGCCTGTTCGATTATTTTTTATCCATCCAGTCCCCATAAAATTGTAAATAGATACTATTGTAAATATTTATATAAACTATTAGATCATTCTTCATTATTTTTACTTCATGTTTATTTGCAATTTTTTATTTTTTATTATTAACTGATTTAAGTTACAAAGTAACTTATAATTTTTTTTATTATGACTATTTAATTGCTCTGTATTTTTGTTTATGTATCTCCACATTTCTGTCTTTCTGTATTATTCTAAAGGGATTCGTCCCAGAATAATTAAAGTATTATTACTATTAAACTAAGCCCAATTACTGTTTATTTTTCATTCAACGGAACTTTTTTTAAGAACTTAAATAAGTAAAAGTTAAACTTTTATCATAAACCTGGAATTTTATTACAAAAAAGTTACTTAGAGCTGTTTTCCAAAAATGTTTCACGAAAACTGTTAAAATAAAACTTTTTCTAAAATGTTTTACAGAAATTGTTAAAATAGAACTTTTTAAGAAAGTTCATAAAAGTGTCAACCCCTCTTACAAACTTTATAAAAAATAGAAAATTTGATAAATAAATTTTTCCATATATTGGTTTTATGTTGTCATATGTTATAGATATATATTATATATAAGTGGCAAATGGATTATTTAATATAACAAAACAAAGAATCCACAACCATGATAAAAAAAAAGAGAGTTGGGGAAAGCAGTACAAAATTTTACATGTTTAAGGCCTTGTGCCTATCAACCCTTATTTATGGAAGTGAGAGCTATATCTCACTGGAAAGAACTTAGAGTAGAGCTGCAGTCAGAGAAATAAGGTACATACGGAGAGTGGAAGGCAAGACCTCTTACTTTGAGGAAAATTGTCAAAAAGAAAACAGGAAACTGAGATGATTTCAAATGGATGAGAACTGGGGTCCAAACTAGTTTTTGTAAGCCTAGTTCCCTGTCCTCATCCTCGAGTAAAAACTAAATTGCTAAGGACGAACTCCATCATCAAGATTGGCTATAGCCAAGAAGGAAAAGTATATAAATTCCATGAAATGCTCAGGATCGGGATGTTTGGCACACTAATATCGGGGCATCCCTATGCTGAGAGGCAAAAGGAGGATGATAAAGAAGATAATTTAATCCTTAACTTTAAATTAAATCTTGGCTTATACTGTGTATCGCAAAATCAATGATTATTTATTTATAACTCTTTGCATCTAGATTCTTTATGTCTAAATTAAAGAATTTTAAGACTTTGATATAAATTTTCAGATACATTCAGCAGATTTTTATTTTAACATTCCTTTGTTTGATGCATAACTTAATAAATCAATTAACTATTCAATAAAATATATCATTAATTAATTGTCTATGTATTTTTTAAAAATTGATCAATCTTTATTGTTTAATTAGAAAATTTTAAAATTGCTACCTGAAAAAGTAATAACACTTGTTTCTGTAATATAGTATACAACCTTGCATTCTTGATTATCGGTCAAATTTAAGAAAAATGATGTAATATTAGTAGAGTTAAGGTTGTTGTTTAAGTTTTATAATTTAATTAAATAATAATAATGTTAATCTGTAATAATTTAACTCTAAAATTTATCTCCTTTAAATTTCACAATTTTTTGGCAAATAGTGTCACAAAAAAGTTAAGGTTGAGGAGAAGAAATAAAAATGTATAAAGAAAGATCTGAAAGATATGAACTAATAAAAAAATGTATTACTTACGATTTAAAAAAATGATTCCAATTCACACAAAAAATAAATATTAATTTATAAAAATTATAAACTATAATCACCTCTACATATCATCAAGAAAATAGCTGGTGAGGGATTGTTGGTGCTGGCATCTACTATTTTGAACTAGAACCACGTTCTTCATACTCAAGATAATAAAAATCATATTTATTTCTGCTAGTACAAGTAGGTATGTTCCTTTCTTCTAGTACAACTACTTAACCTATAATATAAGTGATAATTTAATGGTGGATGGAATAATATATTGGATGGAATTGTTAGTCAAATAGAAAATAATATTTGTTTTTTTTTTTAACTTTACCAGTTACAATGCATCATAAACATTTTATTTTAATATAAATACCAGATATATATATTAATTTTATTTTATTTTAATATTACTGAGTCTCAATAAACAAAGGTAAATTGATTTATTTCTATCCATTTCTCTGATCAAAAGTATGGACTTTCGTATTGACATATACAAAATAAATATAAATTCTTATCAAGACTTCTTGATTATTACATAACTGATTAAAGTTCCGCCTATGACTCAATTATATGAAATTCATATACCAAAATAAAATTCTTTTAAAATTGCCTATAACCAATCAGTAACATAGGTAAATATACGGGAGAGGATGAGTAGGAGAGGGGGGAGAGACTTTTGGGATGAAGTCTTTACCTCCTCCCTCCCCCCCTCCAAATGGTAAAATATAACCAAGTCTTACGAAAAAAAGATAAAATAATCATTTCTAAAAGTATTATTGTTCATGCAATTACAATTAATATGACTTCAGGAATCACTTAAAAACCTTTTCATATAGGTAGTTAGTTTATTTTTGTTTCCAAAGTAATTTTCGTTATATAAAAAAATCTTTTGGACCGAAGCTCTTCCCCCCCCCCCAAAAAATTAATTCCTGGAACCGTAAGTGATCAGTAATAATAATAATATTTAATTAATCAAATTTGTAAACCATGCCTAGTTTTTTGGTTTAAGTGATTTCTTTCCAAGTTTTCCAAGTAAGTTAGTTCCAAGAGCTATTATTTTTACTTCTTATTTTAAAATGACGGCTTCTTAGAATATTTTCATTAACCGTTATTTAATTTATATTTGGAAAATACAATTATCGATTAAAGGATGACACACTTATAAATATATTAATAATTTATAATTGTGGATTGATGGTTGACTATAGTGAATAGTTGAAGAGAAGAATGGTAAAAATAAAAACAAACAAGTATATTTTTTTTTTTATGACATTTGGCCCAAAGTTCAGGCCTTCACCAGGGCTAAGAGAAAACCAGATACCAATAGGTATGAGAAACTATAAACATTAAATGATAGTAAAAAATAATTAATATCTGGTGAAAAGTATAGTCTAAAAAATGTAGGTAGAATAAACTTAAAGTAGGTAGAATAAGAACAGTAACAGAAAACTGAGTATAATAATAGAATAATAACGGCAACAAAGTAGGAACTAATGAAATAAACGTAATCAGTATAAGGTAACATAAGAAATGAAAAATGATTTAACAAAGAAAAGTAATGGAACGTATGAGATAAAAAATGTAAGTGAAGACAAAACATAAATGGGGTGGTATAGTTGCTAAAATATGATGTAATAGCATGCTAAATGGAAGTGAGATAATCATAGAACAAAATGTAAAACAGAGAAAAGGAATATGAAGTTATGTAAGGAAATAATAGATGTAAATAGAAAATTGAGATACTGTAAAATCTATCAAAACATACTGACTACATCTAAGAGAATATAAATATACTTATTTATTTTTACTATTTATTTTTTTTACTGAACACCCCAACCATTCTTCTCTTCAATTATTAATAATTTAAAATATATATATTTTTTTTAATTGCCTACTTTTCAAATTTTAAAACTAATGTAATAGTTTTTTTTTTAAGTATTGCTAATTTATAATTATTAAAAACATTTGTAATTTAGAATGATGGTTTACAATAACATTTTTTGTTTTTATAAGATTAATTATTATCCTAATCATTTTTTAAATTGCTAGAAGTGTGTTTGTTTTTTTTAACACTCAGGAATTTATTCTGTTTTCCTGATAGGAAAGAGCATTCACAGGAAATTATTTTATATTATTGTAAGAATTATTTGTTATTTAGATATTGAATAATTGATGGGTCAAGTGGATAACGGTGATAAACAATATTTTGAGAAAAACTGATTAATTGTTAAGGTTAAAGGTATAAAGTGAAATATTTTTAATATTTTGTTCTTCATATCACGTAATTTCAGCAGTTGATAAAGATGCCATGTGACTATACTGGTCTAATCATTTACCTTGGAGGGAGGAAATGGGCACCCTTGCTATCATTGTACCATATGCTAAGGAACATTCCTTCTTAATAATGTTGATCTTTTATTAATATGAATTTTCACAAATGGCCAAAATGCATTTTGGCATATATATATATATATATATATATATATATATATATATATATATATATATATATATATATATATATATATATAAAAAGAAAAAGAATTTTCGTAAATCTTTATTAGAATTTTATGATAAACAACCTTCTTTAGATTATTCATGTATTTTTGTGAGATTTTTTTCATAATTATTATATTTAATCTATACATGATTAATTTTTTATGAAAACCCTTTTTAATTTCACTTCTTTTGTTATACATTTTTATAACATTTAAAAAAATTATATGAATCTTTGACAGCTAATTTTAATTTAATTTCAGCTACAACAACCATTTTCAAAAATTCTTTTATTTTTATTTTATTTTTTGTTACATTCTGCATCTACCCGAGCGGGTCATTAGCAGCAAAAATTATTTTTCTTTTAAAAATCATAATTTTAATAATTTTCAGATTTTACAGATAATTTGGCAAAAGTGCTGAACAAAAAAATCAATAATAATAATTTAAAAAAATAAATAATAATCCAGAAAAATGCATTATCAAAGTTTTGAACACACCAAATAATAGTGAATAACTTGATAGAAATAAACTGTTCAAAAATGAATAGGGATGTTGTTAGTTATTTATGATTTATTTTCTCCTAGAATTTTCATTTTATTTTTATTATAAAATACATTGAAAATTGATGCAGATAACATTGTATTTAACCTCGAGAAATTTTATAAAAAGTGTTTAAAAAAAAATAAAATAAAATTTTTTGTTATCTTTTTTTGTTATGATTGCTTCTTTTAGTTTTAAGAATGTTGTAAAATTTAATAATTTGTGTAATACTATCTTTTTGCACCTATTGTGCACACTATTTATGTTATCACTGGTTTCACAAGGAATTTCATACCATATACTGCTTTCAGTTGCTGAAGGTTAGGAAGCTGCAGATGGTTATCAAAAAGCCTTTTTTGCAGTGTATCCCAAGTGTGCTCAATAGATCTGGAGACAATATGGGAAGAAGCAGATGTGATCTGTCCATTTTTTCAAGGCATTGATGACCAATTTTTCCTCTATGAGGTCGCATATCATCATCAAAAAATTAAAATCTCTGCTAATTATGACTCTGGTTTGAGGAATGTAGTCCTCTATAATTTTTCGAACATAACAAACTGTAATGAGATTACCTTCCACGATATGGAATAGAGTACATCCTTCTGAGTTGATGCCAGCCCACACCATCACACTCCCTCCTGTAGACTGCATTGAAGAAAGCACAAACTGTTCTCGGAAAACTCTTCTGTGCATATAAATGCTAAACATACAGAAATGCGGCTTATCTGTAAACATAACAGCATTTCGATTTGTATCCTCATCTAGATACTGGTTGCACCATAATTTAATGAGTTGCAGGTGACGCACTGTTGCTACAAATTGTCTTATAGGGGCATAAGAAGTTATACCAGCTTCTCACAAAGAATTACGAATGGTTTGAGTTGATAAGGGTCATGGCAGAACAATAGATACTTCATTTAGGCTCTGTTAAGCACTATGAATTAGGTTGCTTCTTGCAGGTTTATTTATTTTTTTTAGAACTTCTTTATGGAGAAATATTGCAATCTGTCTCAAAGGACATTTATAATAGTGTTCAAAGATCACATTCATGTTCTTGCAGTAATAACAGTATTTCTTTCATCCTTTGGAGTCACAATGTGCTGAGATCTAACAAGTCTTCTATTTGTACTTCTGATATCTCTGAATATGGCTAAAGCTGGGACACCACAATGAGGAAGACCCCAACTTCAATGGGGATATATCCACCAGTACCGGCCTTAGACCTTCGGCGTCCCCCAAGAAATGACGTCATCTCCCCTTCCCATAAAAAAATTAATTTATTTCTTAAACTATTTTATATAAAGTAATATTTCAATTTTATTTCATGCAATATTTATCTGATACAGTTAATACAGCTATTTTATTGGTAGGCTAAAGTTAATTATTTTATTACTTATCCTCTTCGATCGGCAGGCGCCCCAAACGTGCAACCCTACAAGTCGGCGTTCCGGGGTTGCTCTGTCCTAAGGCCGGTACTGATATCCACTTGCCTGTGCTCTTGACCGCTCATTCTCACGATGTTGATATTGTGAACTCCCGGTTCAATATAAAGTCTTTCCAGCGTTAAACAGAATTTTACTGGATTAAAATTGATAAAAGTCGAAAACAATTGTTGGTTTACACAATGAGTACTTTTCATGTTTACTATCCTTTAGTTAATAATTTATTAAATATAAAGAATACTTGTTCACTTTTTATGTTTATCAACAAGCAGAAGACTCCCTAACAAAAATAAAACATCTGGTGAGGGCAACACACAACTTTCACTTACTCTTTGAACTTTGCTCAACTTTGAATAGAAATTATTTTCTGGCCATGTTGGGCTATTATAAAATCTTTGAATTGCATTTTTAATAGAGATAAAGCTAAAAGATTGCAGGAAAAAAATCATAATACTATTAAAATAACAAAAGTCCTACACCGGTTGATTATGGATTGTACGATTCGTTAATTATGGATTGTTCGATCCGTTGATTATGGATTGTACGACTAGAGACCATATCTTTTCTCCTAATTGTCAGATTTTAAAGATTTTTTTTTTAAAGTGTGTACTTTTTGGATTATTCAGAATTTAATTTTACCATCCCTCGTAACTTTTTTGCCAGCTTCTTTTCGTTGAAGTATGTTATATAGTTAAATTTAAAGGGTGTCGAGAAAATGACTTAAGCGAAATTTCATTGAAATCGGTACATTCGTTTAGGCGCTACAGTCTATATAAACGCAGGTTTTTCATTTTTTTTTTCTCCTTTATTAACTTATCAAATTCTTTAAAAAGTTATAATTAGCATTTTTTCGTTACTCTAAATAATGTAAAATGATTAACTTTTTAAAATAAATCATATTAATGATACTTTAGAGAAAGACGTATATGAACATTGGGCATTTAAGCTCTGTAAAGTAACATCAATGGGGATAAGACCTAATTGATTTTAAATACCACTTAATTATACAATGATACACCGAGTTTAATCAAAATCGTTAAAGCCGTTTTTGAAAAAAATTGTGAAAATGTGTTTCAGCGTTCATATAAAGTGGCACTGCCGGTTAGACGATTTTAACGAAAAAGTTACTGTCACATCCGGTCCATATACAAACCTTAAATACTTAATATCAGTTTCGTACTACTTTTCGTTTATGAGCTAGAATGTTAAAACACACAAACACACACAGACCATTTTGCGACACTTGGTTATTTGGACTCAGTGGACCTCAAAACATCTATTTCTGTTGAAAACTGAGATTCGAAAATGTTCACGATCGCATTACTTACACTTACTATAGATTACATATACAGTTAGGTGAAAGTTAAAAATGTATTTTCCTGAAACGAATCAAATAAAACTATCCCTATTCATTTTTGAGCACCATATTATAAAAATAGCAAGTTACAAAATTAGTTCTAATTGTGTAATTTCGAGTTGTTTGACCTTAATATGATTCATGAGCTAGTTAAGTTATTATTGACGTAAAGAGAGTGCCGAACTGTATGAGTTATCTTGATATTCACAGAATGGTGACGCTCACCTGGCCAGGCAGGAGGAAAAGAGAAAAGGCAACAGATAAGAGATTAGATTAGACGACTCAATAAAAAGATTCGGTAACGGCAGGTGCGATAAACATGGTCAGTGCCTGGGACGTGGTGAAGCCCGTCTTCATATCAACCCTGGCCAGCGGGCTGGTCAACTCCGCCGTGCCCAACCTCATCGCCCAGAAGGTATGCAGTCCTCGAGGAGTGCCTTCGGACATCAATGGCTTCATCTGTCATGACGAAGAGCTGGTCGCACTGGCCACTGGTAAATACGATAAGCAAAATATTATTATATATTTTCAATCTTTCATTTATTTTCAACATAAGGTAAAATCAACGGTTTTTGTGACCCTAATGGAAACTTTAAAACTTGTCCCGCTTTCAATTGCGTGGGTACTTTGTTCAACAATTTCAGTTCTTTTAAGTCAGTAAAGATCTCTAATTTAAGAATATATATATCCGTGTTACAAATGATTTCGTGTTATTTAAAATTATGTAGTCAAGATATAATTTATTAGGTTTGTTGACGTTTCGATCCAAACATAAGTGGGCCACCAAAGCATGATTTAATGTTGGTTGGTGACGACCTACATGTCTGCTAATGAAACTACACCAAGTCTAATAAACTAAATGAAGACTGAAAATCTTTGATTTTTATTATCGCCATATATTTTTTTACGTTAAAAAATTTACGTTTGTTTTCTTAAATTTTCCATTGTTGATATACATTTACTCTGACTCCTTAATTTCCAGAGATCGCTACGACGAGGAACATAGTGAGATCAGTCTGCTCGGGGATATCAGTGGGATTGTTCGGAGCCTGGAGGGACGCCAGAGGCCGAAGCAATCCTCTGCTGTACAGTGGCGTGGTCGCTGAAGTTGTAGCTGCGGCAGCCTATATCTTCGCCTCCTTGAGCTGGTCTTCGTCGGCCTGGATCTCGACCATGATCGAGGCAGCTGTCGGGGGTATCTTCGGCCAGGAGATCCTGAAGTTGGGCGCCAACTGCTTAGTCATCAGCAACACCGCTCCGAAGGAAAGGATAGTCAAGTGAGTCAGAACAGCGTTAATACAGAACGCTGCCTATAATAAATTATAGGTAATTCTTACATTTTTCTTTTATTTGAATCAATTCTTTGTTACCTTAATTACTATTAAGGTATATTAATTAATTTATCGACACAAAAATAAAGTATTTATGTATACATGCTAACTAACCTCATCTGTACCACTACGATGAAGGATCTTGGGTTCAATACTTTATAAGGAAGTACTGTTTCTTGGTCAATGGTTGTGCTGGGAGGTGATTTGACCGAGATCACGTTCAACCCCCAAGTTTTCTCCCTTAATTAATTATTTAATAAAGGTACCCACTTATAGAGACTGGGGGTGTCCCGGTGGTAGCTGACCTCAAGAGCTACAAAAAGATTTATATAAACATTGATCCTATTGTAGACAGAAAAGTAGAAAATTTAAGTTTTGTATTTTTTTGAATAGGTAGCGATAATTACACATTTTTTTTTAATTTAAGTAATTAACAATTTGAGATGTGGGGTGGCTCAGTTAGTGAGCACTGGCTTCCAGAGCTCAAGGTTCCAGATTCGAAAGTGGTTGATGACTAGCAATTTTTCATCAACCGTGGATCGACACTCAGCCTCTATAAAGTGGGTACCCATAATTAAATAATTAATTACTGTGATGTCAGAAAATCACAGCAGGAAACAAATGAGAATATTTCGAAAACTTTTACATCACAAATACACAAAACACCTTTATTCTCCTACATAAACATCACACTATCAGGAACAAAGAACTGGACAACATACCACTCTGTGGGTAACCTCACCCAAGCTAACCTTAATTTGTTTACAACAGCTACAGTACTACCTGATAACATGCATTAACTCTACACATTCCCACCTTTACAATTTATGCTTTAAATTGTAAACAGATTTAAAATAACAAAACAAAATTTAAAATATTCAATACAACAAATTTACTATCGGTAACCTCACCCCAGCCAACCTGCCGTTGCTTACAAGCTACAGTGCTGCCTGATAACATGTATTAACTCTATAACTACCAACCAACAAATATCTTTTCGTTTTTTCTCTGGTCATGTCTTATTTGAATAGAAATATTTAGTTTTAAGTAGGGATGAGAGTTAGCATCGAGTTTTACCACTGTATACGTCATACCTCGGTGGAAACAGGCCGCAACCTCAGTCCACTTGACTCCTCGAAGGCGCGGTGTTATTCATAAGTTTTATAAAAGTTTTAAACTAAATATGAACCTTTTATTATGATTTGAAAATTTTAATATCGTATTTTTATCATTTGAATTCAATTGACGTTTGCGTGTTTTTTTTCATGTAAATACCCAATTAATAGTTAATACTTCGAAAATTGATTACATTCCTGCTTCCTGCATTTAGATTGCAGCTCTACTTCGTATCCATCGCCCTCGGGATCATCGTAGCAGACAGCATCAGTGGCGTACTCCTCACTTCGATCGGCTTCGAATGGTACTTCTTCGTTCCAGTCGCGCTGCAAGCAGTAGCAGTCATCCTTCTCTTCTACTTCGTCAAAGAGCCGAGGTGTGCAGATAGTGGGCGAGGGCTGGCTGAGACTTTCGAACGCCTTCGTGATCTGTTCACTCCAAGGACTAACATCGGTGTCATATGGCTGATGCTGATCTGCAATGCTCTAGTTAGCTCTTATATATCAGGTAATATATATTAATTAGTTAAAACATTATCCGACCACCTGTTTGAGAGAGTTTGAACGTGAATTACGAAAGTTAGTGTTATTTTAAGTAAAATAAAACTTCTCTACCCATTCAAAAGCCGCCGATTTCGAAAATATTAGACAAGAATGATCTATGATGAATGTATGAACAGGGTTAATGTTGCGAAAAATGTGGTAGATTTCCATTGTGTATTACTTGTATTTATTGGAGGGGGGAAAGAAAACCTGTACCACTACAACCCATGAAGGTTCTTGGATTCGGCCCAGCACTTTGTAAGAAGTAGTGTTTCAAAACCAACAATTGTGCAGCGAGATGATCGGGCCAAAATCATTATTAAATTAATTATTTAATTAATCCACTTTATTAGAGGCTGTATGTACCGCAGGTGGAACTCTAGACTCCAGATTCGATCCACGGCTGATGAAAACTTACTTGTCATCAAGCAGATTCGAACCTCGGACCTGAAGCTTCGGATGTCAGTGCTTAACCACTGAGCTCCTACTCTTCACTTATATGCCGAAACATATAAAAAAAATAATAATTAGATGGGCTACCATAGTAGAACTTATTCGACAGCTAAATAGGATTTTTTGGTTGCCAGAACTTTAACAAAATGTGGTTTAACAAATATCATTTACATATCGTCAACCATATAGAAACGACAAAACAAGTTTAATAAAACTTCGTGTTTTTATTCAAGTTTTTTGTTGTTTTGCCAGCTAACTCGACAGTTAATTCAGTAAATCGTTATGAAATTAAACTATGTTAAATTTTACGTTAAATTACTAACACAACTTAAGGATTTGATCATGTGCATTGCCCGGGCCTACGGTGGAGGGTAGGGAGAAGGAATTAGGCTTTTGAGCCCCCTCAAAATAGAAAAACAAAATTTTGTCATTGGTCGATATTTGTCACTGTGAGTTATCTAAACTATTTAAAATTATAATGTATGTATAACTACTAAATGTAATCATGTCTTATGAAAAAAAATTAAAAAATTCTCCCTAAAAGTATTATTGTTCTAGTAATAAGGCTTCAAGAATCATTTTATATCGATAGTTTGTTTCATTTCTTCTAAAGTAATCGAAAATAGTAGAAAACGTTAGTCAACAAACGATGAATTTTTCCACTTCGTTAAAAACTGAGATAGATTTCCATAAATGTCACTTCAGCAATAAAAGATGTACTAACCTTGGGTTTGAATGATTTACTAAATATTATATTTTGTCAATATTTTTAAAAGATAATAGATTTAAAAGACCAGGTAGACAAAAAAAATGTAGAGGCCCATAGTTTGTTGATCATGGGTTTTAATTTATAAATAGTTCAAATAAAATAAAATTGTTTAGAGAATGAAATAATGGAAGTTAAAAGTACTTCAAACATTACTAATGCAAAATACTATTGCTAAGAATAAAAATACAGATTTTAATAATACTAAGTTATAATAAAATATTCAACATATCGCAAATCTAAATTTTACAAATTTAAAATTGTATACTTTCTTTAACATAAAAAAATAGTAACTGCGTCAAAGTTTCTTTTTTCGGTTTTACTTCTTAATTCTGAGCCTAGGAACTATAGTTTGACATTATCTGATCTTCCTAAGATATTTTAAATAACAAGAAACATAATTTAAAATTTTCTGAAATTCGAAAGTTGTGTTTCTTTACATATTTGTTGATTACTTACTTTTATGATTGAGTGTATTCTTACTTCCATCTCTAGGTGTGAATGTGTTTTATATATTTCAATTTCATTTAGCTTCTCTCTATTTATTTTTTTTTATTATTGTTTTTTACCTATGTATGTTAATTTTCTTATTTTACTTACCACAACTCTTTTTCTTTTATTTCTATTTTAGTTATCATTTCTATGTATATATTGTGTGAATGTTTAATGTAGCCCTAATATTAATGCCCTCCGATGCGGCAGAATGTATTCATTTTCAAATAAAAAATAAATAAATTTTCAACTCAAGCCACTCAGGTATGAATATGCTGTAAGCTACCGACCATTTCATTTAATCAAAGAACGTCATTTAAGCAAATAATCATTTTAAATTGTAGATGAAGTCTCCAGATTCTGAACACACAACTTCGTGTCAATCGGTTGAAAGCCGTACCTTCCTGTATGAAAATTTAAATTAAAGTGGTAAAATTGGCATTTCATTAAAGGTAAGAAATAAGGGTTGGAATTTGGATATGAAGTAAAGAATATGTCCCTAAAATATAGTTCACTTTGACTGACTCGGTTGTTATTGACATCGCCAAAGTCATCAAATTAGTCGACTGCACTGAATGGTAGTTGGATGTGGAAAAATCCAAATAGTCGTTTTTTCTTCGTTATTTATCTTTTTTTGGGATGCTGAATCTGAATTTTAAAGTTCCCAAACGATTTTATGCATATGCAAAATACAGTTAAATTTTGGCACTTTTTTTTTTTGGTTTTTTGTCATCACTCCGAATCTATATATTTTATCGAGATAATTTGTTCATACAAAGTTAAGGAAATAAAATTTACTATAAATCTCATAAAAAGTTTTTTGGTGTAGGGCAAACGAGTAAGGAGTTAGAGCAAGTTGTATTATTTCACAAGAAATAACTGTTTTCGTCTCTTTTTCCCCAAATATTATCATTTATACACATCTCGTATGAAATTCATCAAAATCGATTTCAAAGAGCATTAAATTTCCTAAATATCTTATGTAGATACGTTAATATGTGAGAAGGTAAACGGCTGTTACAGCGCAAGTAATGGAAGACCCACTCCTAGGTATCTGCCGCATCAACTTAAGCACTTTTTATGTTTTGAATTCCTTTGATTCGGCTAATTTAACTATTTAATAACATAATTAGAATGTATAAACATATTATATACCTTTTATATATTCTGTTGGCTTGAGGGACATCAATATCCATAACAATAATAAAAACATTAAGGATCGAAAAAGGGATGCTCATACACACCAAAGCCAATGGCGTATGAATCTTCACCCATCCCTCCCAACATATTTTATTCCTATCTACTTCTTAAAAACAGTGCAAACTAAAGTAGAATTTAAATATTCGTAGATTATATACAATTAAACATTATGCGGTCTGTTGTATGATTGCACTTGTCTTTTAATTTGAAATTTTTCATTTTGAAAAATCCCCGTCGAAATTAGTCCCTCAAAAATTGAAGATGCCTCATAAATTATAAAAAGTGCACTCTCATAAATTTTAATTTTGACGTCCTTCTGGACACCTCTGGATCGAAATGCCCTTTAAAGACCGAGTGCTCTGATGGCTTTTGAAAAAGGAATAATTTTGCAGTTTATTGGAATTGGGTACTTGGTATGTTATTATCTTTAATCGTAGGTGTAGATCACAATACGGACAAATGAATTGTATGAAAATAAAATAATGTACACTAGTTTTTAAAATAGTATTCACTAATTTAAGTTATGTTGAAAATTGTTTTCTACATTTCTTGACGAACTTTGATTCTCTTTTTTAGCTGAAGGCAGCGTATTAGTCTACTTCACGCAACAAGCGTTCGGCTTCACCGTCAATCAGTCGACCATCTACATAACCTATCACACTGTCATCTGCGGCGTAGGTATGGATACAAATAAACAAAAACATGAATATAGAAAAAAAAATAGCCATTTTATCCTTATGATATTTACATCTATTTCAGGAGCTATAGCGATACCGATATTACTCAGAAGACTCTTCAACTGGCGCGGCTTCAAGATCGGCATATCAAGTTCTCTGATGACTGCAGTGTCTTCTTTAGCTTTAGCGTTTGTTAAGACAATTGTGGAACTGTATTTGGGTAAGCATAAGCAACTTAAGAACCACAAAATAATAACAATTTACCCTATTCGTTAAGATGACTGGTATATTTATACTTTTCAGTCTCATTGTTGGATATGCTGAAATATGTCACATTGGCCATACCTCAATTCATCCTCGGCACCTGCGTGAGGAACGAGGAATTAGGTAACTGAACTATGAAGCATGATTTGTAAAGAAAAACGGTGACAGTGATAATGATATAAGTAACCGGTTACTTTTATATTCCAGGTCTGTTCCTAGGATTCGGGTCAATAGTGAGTATTGGACTACCTTTCGCAGCCAATTATCTTTACAAATATACCTTCTCCTATTATCAACAGACATGGCCTGGAGCTATCTATTTCATCAGTGCCGGAGCTAACTTGATCGCAATGCTTTTCTTGTGGTGAGCTTTTATATTTTATTACTTGTAGGAATTACACTTTATATATATATGTAAGTTTGCTACAGTGTACTACACTGTTGTATCCTTCAGTGTTATCATATGACATATGATTGAAATAGTTATTATTGATTTGTACTCTTAAAACAACGTGTAATTTAATTCTTTTTATAAATAATAAAATCTCGTTAAAACAACCTTACGCACTCATATATATATATATATATATATATATATATATATATTATATATATATATATATATATATATATATGATACTCAGGACTTCGACACAATTAAGGTTGAAAAACATTAAATATTCAACACAAAATATTCTAGAAATAGCAATCTACAGGATTAAAAGAAAAAAAAAAAGGCTCCAGGGATAGACAACCTACCATCAGGATTGTTCAAGGATGGGGGAGAAGACCTCAGAGCCAAGCTGTTAGATCTAATCCAGAAGATATGGGAGAGGGAACGGATACCAGAAGCATGGAACACAGGGTTGATCTGTCCTATCCTTAAGAAGGATTCCATGTATGAATGTGGTAATTACAGAGGCATAGCACCTCTTCCGGTCGCCTATAAAATAATGACTAATATTCTGCCAAATCGGATATATCTATATTATGAAAAGATAATAGGCGACCATGAAACACGATTCAGGAGAGATAAGAGTACGCTAGATCAGATATTTTAGGAACGACCTTTAGGATTTCAACGGATAGCTTCACTCCTGGAAAGTTACAAAACGCATGAAAAATAATAATATATACAAGGATATATTTACCCGTTAAATTGTTGGATGTCAAAACAGAAATAAATATAAAAAGTAAATTGAGGAAGAACAACACATAGGTTATAATGAGGTTGCATCCAGAGGACCATCCTAGAGCCGATGAAACCGCTAAGGCATTGGTAATTCAATCAATGAATAAAGAAACTCGCTAGATTCCATTTAGAGATCCATCGATGTGTTTAGAGACGGCCTGATAGATTTCTGATGACCATCAATCAGTTCAGCGCTGAGTTTAGGAACTTATCGATTGCTATGTAAGATCAGTTTAGCGGAATAGAGATTATCAGCTATATGATTACTTTATTTTATAGAATGCTTTTTCTCTGGCTGCAATATTTTCTTCTTTGTTTTCAAAGATTTTTTACTATGTTTTTGTATCTCATTTGATATTTTGCATATCATTTGATATGGGCGGTCGTCCCATGACTAAAAAAGTATATATTGTCAGAACGTTTTGGAAAAAATAACAGTCCTTTTAAACTAATAATTGATAAATAATTTCATGTACTTATATATCATATAGTACTTATATATCACACAATCTGTAGCCTCGCATAAATAGTTATTTTGTTAATGGTTTAAAGAGAAAATAAAGTGTTGGCTGCTGAGTTGACTTATAGGATAACAACAAGTTCACGTCTGTTCGGCGAAGATCAGACAGAAACAGTAACTTACCACCTTCTTTCACCAAAAATTCATCCTATAACTTTGTTTACAAGTTAACAAGCAACAACCTTTCTTCTTTCCTTTTATTATATTTTAAGCATTGAATAGAAGAGGTCATTTTTCTAAAAGTGAACTAATGAATCATATTTTATTAATTAATTACGTAAGTTATGAATCAGTAAATATGAATTAGTGAGACGGTACAGAAATGAAATATCTGTTGACGAAGTTCAATTAAGGTGAACTGAATTTGTTTAAAGATGAGGGTGGATTTCATTTTACTGAAATTAAATTACATTATTTTATTAATTTAGAAATCGATTGTACGTAATACATTATGTTTTATTACAAATGATAATATCTCGTCCCGGGCGCCGAAAATCCACGCGACGGCCCTGACTGTAATACATATAGTGCACATTATTGACAAGTTTTTAATATATTAGCATCTTCACAGCACCTGGTAACAGGTTTTACTTTTCACAAATTCATTAATAGACTATAAATACCATTACGTTTTCCTGTTAACTCATGTGGTTAATTCCTGCACAAACATTTCCAATCTGAACAGGAAAGATCATTATCTAATCATAGTCTAGTGGTTTGTTTACAAAGCTTTCTCTATGTGAAAAATGCATGCATCAATTCCTTTTTTAACCTTAATTTAACTGAAATAAAGTATTTTTCAAAGGTCTAATAATAATTTTTAAGAATACCCTTTTTAGTAATTTTTTTTTATAAAATAATTTTTGTATCATTGGATAAACAGGTCTACTAATATATTTTAATTACATTACATTACATTACATTTACATTCAATCCTTTCAGTCCAAAGTCCTTGGAACAATAGTTGATGCTCCGTTCTATGTAACCACTAGCGGAGCCAGGATTTAATTTTCGGAGGGGCTTCAGCCCGGAAGCTTTTTTTTCATATATATAACGATAATTACTTTGGAAAAACAGAAAGATACTAACTACCTATATGAAATGGTGTTTAAGTGATTCTTGAAGTCCTATTAAATGTAATTAAACGAGCAGTAATACTTTAAGACATAATTTTTTACCATAAAATATGGTTATATTTTACCATTTTGGGGGCGCTTCAGCCCGAAAGCCCCCCCCCCCGTAAATCCGCCTGTGTATGTAACCAACCAAACCCTACACCATGACCTTAATATCCCATTTGTCCTAGACCTTATCCCTCAAAAATTTTCCAAATTCCACCAAAACCTTACATATCATCCAAATCCAATTGCACAATCCCACTCTAGCACCACTCATCCCTACAATCCTCCTCGAAGGTTGAAGCAACAGTGGCCCAGAGACTTGTTGTAAAAATATATTGGAGTTCTGGCAATGGCCAGATTCTCCACTCAAGCTATGTATGTCTGGTTATAGTGTCTCTGCTCAGCCTCCATTGGTAATACCATTGATGCGGCTGAGTGAAAAAACACTAGGATCTCCTAGAGTCCTGCCTTTCGCTCCACGAGTGTGGAGAAAGGCTTGGCTCAGAGATTTTGAGTGACTGAATATTGTACAAAAGCATGTGTGTATTTAAGTATTTATTTTGTTAGATTTGTTTAGTTTTGTATCTTTTAGTTTATATATTTTTATTTATTGAGCATAGTATGAATGAGCTAATCTATATCACTATTACTATTGTCCTCTAATGTGACAGATATATCTCAATAAAGACTTTTTAAAAAAATAAATAATTTTTGTATAATTGGATTAACAGGTCTAATAATATATTTTAATAAAATCAAAATACATGTTTTCATAATAAATAAAGATGAAATCATAATACCAGAAATATATGAAAGATAAAATTTTCTTTCTCCCATATTTTTTTCCTGCTACTGCAAGATATTTTGCAAAGCTGCTTGCCATAGCAGTAGGTACCACATCCAGGCAGAACCTTCTGCTCTCCTCCTTTCCTAATATTTTATAAAGAAAGACATGAAAAATTAAAATTAAAAAAAGAAAATTGATTCGGTTGAAACTTTTCTCTCTCTCTCTCTCAATATTTCTCAATTGTCCGTGCCTATACTTTTAGAATGGCAGACATAAAGTCTTCTTACGTGGGTCAGACAAAATTATTGCCGAATTACTGTTGGGTAATAAGCAGTGGGAAAAAAATGCCGTAATAATGTAGGAGAGTCTCAAATAATAGTTTCTGTCATGGTCTGCATCTGCTCTCTTCCAACACCGAGACTCTACAAGAAATCACTTGTAGTAAGAGGGATTGTTCCCCTACTTCTGAACCACAGCCTTTAAATTGAGAAATTCATCTCTATACTTTTCCTCTAAGTAAGGTATTCATTTCTTATAGATATCCTCCTTCTCTGCCTGAACCTTGAAGTCTTAATCCTGATTGTTCGTTTCAAATCCATGGGATCCAATATTAGTGCCTCCTGTTCCTTAGCATTGAATGCTTGAATGTCAACAAATCTAGATGAACCTTCTGTATCCAGGCAATAAATCTCGAGGAAACATCTATAGTTCTTTACCTCAAGAAATTCGGCTATTCAATGCTTTATATTATTATGTCGTTGAATGGTAAGGAGCATTTTATTCGAACAATTTCCCAACACATAAGCTGGAGTTTCTGAATCTCGGCCACATTTGAGGCAGAGGGTTCCAAAATCTCCGTTAGCTTGGCTTCCAGTCTCTGGTACTCCACGGAGAGGATTGTAATTAACATTTATTTTCATGACGTTCCTGCATTTTGTGCCTGTGAGCACCTTTCTCTCGTATTTAAATTTATTGGCCCATGGGTTTGCATTAAAATGGGACACACCAATTACTTGCCACTTACACTTGCTCCAATCATCAAAGGACTTTTCCCTCAGGGATTGTCTTACTTTTCTAACTGTTAGCGATGGTTTCATATTACTCGCTTCGATCCCAAACAGATCTGTCCACTTTCTTAGTTCTTCTTCGAAATCGAAAATCGCCTGGAATAGAGTTATGATGATTTTAATAGAGTGATGAATGATATTTTTTGGTAATGTGGCAGTGTTGAAGAGGAATCTCCCTAACACGCAAAAGACTCAAGTCTCAGTATCTCCGGAGTGCATATATCTTCACTGAGTAAGAGCTGGCCGGTAAACCTACCATTGCTTTAATATTTACCTACCAATACTTCTGGGCAGTAAGATTTCTATAGACTAGGGATGGTGGCAATTTCCCCAATGGCGCCGTCTGCAAGGGTGTGGAAAAACATAACCATTGACAATATTGATCTTCTGCTGTTGTGGCTTTCTAGTTACTTTCGCCACAGAAACATCATCGAAGTTTAGTTCCCAAGAGAACCAACACCCAAGATCTCTCTGTTATCTAAGCAAAACCCTGATTTTACTGATCTTCTTTTCTCTTATAATAATAATAGAACAAATTGATGCTGAAGACTTAGCGACAGGTAAATAAATCATATGTTGTGAATATGAAACTGTTCGGCTAAGTTAAATTAATGTATGTACTTGTTAAGTATCCAATTTCTAAATAGATTTCTGGCAGTATAATTATGTATATAATGTAATTATATGAATATAATTCATTAAGATGAATAACTAGATTTAAACTACATTCAGACCAGTCAAATCAAAAGATGATTTAAATAACTTCCTGCAATTTACCTCTGAGAACCAGTATTGTTGACATGTTTTATTTTTTATTAATCTGATCAAGCTACTATTCCTACTGGTTATCTTCCATTTATTTTATATTTTAAATTTAAGAAATATAAAATAAACAATAATAATTCTGAATATTTTATTTTCAGTATTGGATATTTTATGTACACTCCTGAAAATGTAGTTGATGAGGAAAGCCCAACAAATGAAGATGATGATGTTACAGAATCAACTTATCCCAGGAACGGTGTCAGTTAAATGAATGATAAACATTTAAATTGCTTCATATACTCTCCAAGTGTGAGAATAAAATACGAACATATGTTTTTTATTCTTCAGTATTTATTATTATATGAAACTTACATAAAATTATTTGTAATCTTTCAAGTGATAAGCTTGTATTTTAAATAATTATATAATTCTAAAAATATGGGTTAATTTAATGATCTGATCTAACAAAAATAATAATGCTAAGTACAGTTATACATTTCGCTATAAATCGGTAATTTTAGTGTTTTGATATCCTAAAGCACATCAGCTATCAGGCCAAACCATTTAAAATGATGGGTTGACCTACCAGTTAAATGTGTTGGTGGAAACAATCCAGGTATTTCTATATGGAACCTATCCCATTTTCAATGTTATTTTCTAACAAAACTATTTTTGTTGTGTCTCTTTCATTCTGGATATGCAGTATGTATATGTTTTTATGTTGTCAAATTATTCTTTACCATTATAAAACATGTAACAAAGCAAGAGTTTTCAAGAATTATCAAACTAATTTATAAATATTTGTTGTTGGCTTCTTATCTAATAACTTGATGTATAGTTATATGTTTCTAGTTTTATATTTATAGCTGTATCATATGAATGTAAAATAATTAAATTATTACTACTACACATCCAGCAGATTTTATTATTTAGATAATCCTTACCTCTATCAGGTTATTTTCTATATATGTCAGGTTAATAATCCCAATTAGTTTGCATTTTTCTTTCACTCAGTTAACATGTAGTCGGGTGATAAAGAAAACCGAATAGCTGTGATCACCTTACACAAAGTTGGAAAATGTAGGTCAGAGATTTTCAACACTTTGAATCGTTGGGTATCAGCCACATGTTCATGTACCACACAATAAATAGATATAATGAGACTCTATCTGTATGTGGCAGACCTCAAGTGGGCTCACACTGTGAGAACGGCAAATGCAGTGAGAGGAGTGGCTGCTCGAATCAGTAGAAATCCCATTCAAAAATAACAAATCATGCCTCGGGAACTGAGAATCTCTGTCAGATCAATGTTGCTTAATAAAACGTGACCTTAGGATGGCTGCATTTTGAAGAATGACAGGAGAAAGGCTAACCACTTTTCTAAAAAAAATTAGAGTGGATAGATGCTCCTTGACCGTTACATCAATGGTTTTCATTGAAGTATTCTGTTTAGTGATGAAAAAATTTTTACAATTGAAGAAAAATTTAATCGCCTGAATCATTGTGTGTACGTACACAGTTCTAAAGAAGCCCAGGAAGTCATTGGAAGAGTGGAAAGAGGTCATCACCCTTTCCACCTAGTGGTGGCTAGGTGGGGAGTTTGCTTGTACTCTGTTTACTGGAAATCATTGTGTTTTCCAGCAGGATTCTGCTCCAGTTCACAAGTCGAGGTCAACTCAGCAGTGGCTGCAAAAGAGCATTTCAGAGTTCATCTCTGCCTCAGAGTGGTCCTCAGGAAGCTCTGATCTCAGCCCACTAGATTATCAGCTTTGGTCCGAACTGGAGAGGATGGCATGCCACAGAGCACACCCTAACTTGGAAAACCTCAAACAATCTCTGGTCCGCGCAATTGAGTGCTTTCCTCAAGAAGTGCTGCATACTGCTATTGATGACTGTCCACGGAGATTAGATGCCTGTGTCAAGGCAAAAGGGGGACATTTTGAGTAATTTCTTTATTGTTTTACTCTCTATAGATATACATTTTATTTTCTAATAAAGATTTTAAAAAAATAATATTTCTGTTGAATCTGTACATATTTCCTTGTAACAATATTTATGACAGGACTAGGTATCTTTTTAGTTTATTTTTTTCAAAGTAATTATCGTTATATATATATATATATATATATATATATATATATATATATATATATAAAATATATTTCGGGCTGAAGCCTCCCCAAAATTAAATCCTGGATCCGCCAATGGTTCAGAATATATCTTTATCATAAAACAGGATAATTTAAAAAAAAAAACCTGCAGCATGACAACCCATGAAGGGTCTTGGGTTCCGTACTTTGGTAGGAAGTTCAGTTTCAAGCTCAATGTTGTGCAGGGAAGCGATCGGGCCAGGACCAAGCTCAATTGTCAAGTTTTTCCTCTTAACTAATTATTTAATTATGAGAACCCGCTTCATAAAGATTGGGTGTGTCACAGGAGGCTTTACTCACTCCAAAGTTGATTCACAGCAGATGAAAAATTACCTGTCATGAGTCCGATTCAAACCCGGGACCTAGAGTTTAGTAGCTCAATGCCGAACTAACTGAGCTACTCCTCTCCTATAACAGTATTATTAATGATTGTTAATTCTCAAAAAGAATTTGAATTTTTTCGAAAATATAAAAAGTTATGGACTCTGATAAAATGTGCCAAGAATAAATAGTAATAAGAATAAGAAAATGGAAACTACACATTCTAATCTGTTAGCAGATGAATAATTAGTTTTAAATTTAAATTATTGTTATGCAATTTTATATATCTATTTTCTAAATAATATTATAGGGATATATTGGTAGAGTTAATAACTAGTATATTAATTCAGTTAGAAAAAATGTTTATCGGTTTATATCACTAAATATAATATAAGTTTTCCCTTTAAAAAAGTTCCATACTGTATTGTTCCACTTAGAAACTTTAAAAAGTTGACAATTCTACTATAGGCAATTTATTTCTCCTTCTATCCTGAAGAAAATCTAAGTGTAATTTTTCTTTTATAATCTCACATATGTTCGATTAGAATAATGTCTGGTAATTGATTAGATGCTACACATTTGCAGGTTATATATTCTAGTATTTTTTAATTTTATTTTTATTTCACAAAAATTTCAAATTAAGGGTGTACAATACTATGATAAAGCCTGACAATGTTCTGATATATGGCTGCATGACTTGGACACTAACCAGCACCCTAGAAAGAAGATAGAAACATTTGAGAGAAAAATCCTCTGAACGATAACCGGAGCGATCTGGGATCAGAGCACAAATATATGAAGAATAGAGATAATAAAGAGATGCTTACAGAAACTGGTCAATGAATATCTGAAGATATAAAGGTGAGAGAGTAAGATAGGCTGGGCATTTAGTTCTCAGTAATCCATCTGGAAGTCTCTAACAACAGGCCTCAATATGAATGCATGCAAAAAAAATTATAATATTCGTGCTGTATAGCCATTGTACATTATATAAACAAAGTACCATAAAATGGTAGGAAATAATTTAAAGAGATTCTAAAGAAGCAACATATACCATGAATGGGATATTTAATTAAATTAAGAAATATTAGACAAATGAAAATAGACAAACAGAACATCAACACTGATTTAAGGTAATACTTTATTATTGTTAATTATTTTTATACCGTTAATATGCTATCTTTGTTTCATAATAAATTAAAGGGACATGACTAGCAATTAAATACCCCTAGCCATATACTGGGATTAAGATAAAAGAAATCTATTCTGCATACTTAATCTGGCTGCATTAAATTTCTAATGTTATGGGAGTTATTTCTAATGTTATGGGAGTTATTTCTAATGTTATGGGAGTCACAAAAATGTAATAAGTTACTTAAGTTACAATTACATTTCCCATAGTTGGATGGATGAGCTAAAGGCTGGCCCTGGGTTTTTTGATGCCCTAGAACAAAGGTCACCAAACTTGTTGACACGTGGGTCACATTGAGACCTCAACTAAGTCGTCTGAGCCATGTCTTGTGATGAAAAAAAATCTTTAAAAAATCCTCATGTGTAAGTAATTTGCTAAATTTTATAGATAGATAGATAGATAGATAATTTTATTGGCTATTATGTACATCATTTAGCCATGGAGTTTGGCCCATTTGGTGTTAGTAGTTGTTAGTACTGAATGGCAATGAAAGCATTAATAAATAAAGATATAAATACGTATACATATGTAAATTCCTATTGAAAGAGAACAAAACAAAATAAAATATGTATATATAAATATATTTTCCCAATAAGTAAATAGAATAAATAAACAAATAGATAATTATTTCTAAAACCCAAAACAATATAAAAAAGTGTATATCTGAAAATTAGTTAATGATTCAATAATATCAATAGTCTTTCCCAAAGCTATATACATATAAATAAATAAATGGTTATTCCTAAAATAATATAATATAGTCCTTACTCTAAATACCTATATATAGCCTTTAACAAAAAGAAACAGATGTCATTGAGTTTGTCCGCACTATCAATATTTAGAAGATTTTTTAAAGATAATTGTTTATTGTTTTGAACTATATAATCTCCTAGGTATTTTTCCCTATCAATACTTAGTCTGGGGTATTGCAATAACAGGTGTTCCATGTTTTGGGTGATATGTTCTTGACACAATCCACATTTTTCCACATTTATAACCAAAGTGGTATTTTTATTAAAAAGTTTCAGCTTTTCCGTATCTGAAATTCTTAATTGGCTAACTAGTCTCAATTTGTTTATATTTACATGGTAGGTTAAATATTCTTGCAGCTGAGGGTTGTTAAAGCTACAAACAGTTCTGTAAAGTGGGTTGTATTTTGAGTTGAGAGCTCTATCAATATCTATAGAGTAGAGATGATTTTTTACTTTTTCGATAATTATGTCTTTATTATTAAGTAAGTAATTTGGTTTTAGGTCTTCAAAAAGGTCGTCATCAATATAATTATTTGCAGCTATTTTTTTAATTTATGAGATCCAGTTAAAACCTGAGTCTCTCTCCTTTGTATATAAATTAATGAGTCTGACAAGGAATTTCCCTGGCAGTCGGTTTTCAGGCATTGAAAGAAGCTAAACACAAAAATTAATAATTTTCTTCAAAATTTTTACTTTTAAAAGAGTTCGTCCAGATTCTAAGCGAAAAATATAATTTGGAGTACATTTGGGCCAGAAATGTAAATACTTCAAAAATTTAGTCTGAATCGACTCTAAGGCTTCCAGGTAATTCAAACTCCAAATCTCGGCTCCATAAAGAAGTGCCGATGAAACCATGGAATCAAATAGGGTCATTCTTGCTTGCCAAGAATCGGTTTTACCCCGGCTGAGTATTTCTCTCACCTTTGCACCTGCCAGGAATGATCTTTGAGTGAAATAATCGAAAGCTTTGACAAACTTTCCAGAGGATGAAAAAGATATTCCTAGGTAAGTGTAAGATTTGGTGTATTCCAGTTCCTTATCATGCCAGAAAAGGGGTTTTAGTTTTTTCATCCGTGGTGATTTATGAAAGACCAGAGTTTTTGACTTCACCGGGTTAAGTATGAGAGAGTTTGGCAGCAGTAACTTTCTAGTAGTTTGAGTTTCTTATGGGCACTATGCCACGAAGTACTAAGCATCACGATATCATCCGCTAGCATTTTAAATTTTATATTTTTAAATAGTTTTTCAAATTTTATCATCTAAACAAAATACTTTCGCAGGCCGTAGTTTGAAGACTCCTAGGAAAAAAAAAAATTTCTTCAACCTATAATCTTCAACACTTCCTCTCATCCTCCTGTCTGCCCATACTAACCCGAGACCACTCTACCACATTAAGGATTAGAAATGAAATAAAATTAGTGACTTTTATGTTTTTAAACAATTTTAATGTTGCCTACATTTAAAAATGCTGCGAATTAATACACAATGGTTTATTATTTCCAAACAGCTATATTTAAAATGTAATACTATTTTACTTTTTACAGGAAAGAAATACAATGATTAATATGATATACAATGATACAACATAGCGGGAACACTGATTAATAATGGTGCTATGTCCTATTAGCTATCTGTAGAGGTGCCCATTCTCTCCAAGGTTGATGGGGCAAGAACCTACCACCTCTCCCTCCCAAGATATTTTATTACTTACCTTTTCATAAAAACAGAGCAAGGCAAAGTATAATTAGAAAAATCATAGATCATACACAATTACACTTGCTGCGGTCTGTTCAACGTTTTTCCCTTGTCCCTTATTCTGAAACTTTTCATTCCGAAAATTCAGAACCCCTTTGACATGTGCCCCCTCAAAAATTAAAAAAATAGTCAAAATATGCTCCTCTTAAAAAGTTAAAAGATGCAACTTGAGCCATAAAACCCCTTTCTGGATACTCTTGCCGATCTGGGCTAGCTACAGAGAACGGAACAGGGATAACCGTTGCTGATGCCTATTTTACTTGAATGAAGTGTATTATAAAGTGTGTTTAGTTTACAGACCATGTGCTTCGAAATGTCTAAGATTTAATGTTATTTACTATTTAAAACAGTACGATTTGTGAACAGAAACTATGTGGTTTTAAAATTTATACCGGTTATGTAGTGTTTTTTGTGCTTTCTCTAAATAGTACTGAACCCCAGACCATTCATGGGTTGTACTGGTACAAGTTTTTATGTAGTGTTTCACAGTTATTAAATGGATAACATTATCAATCGTTGCCCATTGTACATATGTTTGTATCAGAGCATCCAGGATAAGAATTTGTCCAAGTTTCATTGAAATCAAGACTTCTCAGTGACCCTGGTTTTTCGGCCACCATCTTGAATGAAAGGACGGATGATAAAGCAGGGTTTCGAGGATCATCTTCGGGTGTCCTTTGACTTTGATACTAAATCTTAATTTTTTACTTGATCGATTACGAAGGTTGATTGTTGAAAATAATGAGACTTAGGAGCCTTATTCATTGTTTGAATCTAATTTCAGCATTTCATCTTCTTTTTAACCGCTTCCTCTTCTACCGCTGAGCGGTGTGAAGAGGCATTTCATACTTAACAATATTTCATTGCACTGATCTAAGTTTCCTGCAAAACAGCAAAAATTCTCACCGTTCCTCTAAAAATTTTTAAAAATTTATTGACACAACCATTTTTAAAACCATATCAGTCTGCAACACAGGTTGCAACACTAACGGATCCAGGATTTAATTTTGGAGGAGTTTCAGCCCGAAAGATTTTTTTTTTATGTATATATTACGATAATTATTTCGGAAGAAAGAAAGAAACTAAGTACCAATATGAAATGGTGTTTAAGTGATTCTTTGAGTCCTATTAAATATAATTGGACGAACAATAATACTTTTAGAGATAAGTTTTTACATAAAACGTAGTTATATTTTCGCAAAAAACTGAAAACTAAAGGTATTTTTGAGTTTAAGATAAAAGGCATAGCTAAGAGGGAGTAGGTTACGCTCTCGGAAAATGCTTTTTAACTGTTTATTTTTTAGGCTTCAAAAATAAATAATAGCAAATGTATAGGTATGATAATGATCCTGACACATTTTACTATAATTAATTTTGATTTAAAATATAGTTAAAGATTGATTTGTTCATATACCACCTAATAGGGCCAAGACTAGAATTGTTTTGTAAGAGCACACATAATTTTGTTCTATCTTCTTCAATCGTGTAAAATTTCATTAAATTGCAAAGGAATTTAATAAGAAAAAAATTATTTTTGAAAATCTCAAAAGTGTATATTTAAAAAAAAATAGAAATCACATTAGTGGAACAATTTCTTGAATCTTAATAAAATATATATATCACAAAAAAGATAAGATAAAGACAACTTAAAAAAAGTTCCTAATGAAAAAAATAAATTAATTTATATATATATATACAAATATTTATAATTAAATCTAATGTCAGTCAATACTCTTTATACATTCTCTTATCGATAATTGTCATTATAAAGGTTGTGCCTAAAACGGCACTCTTGATGACTAGCGGCAGATAAAGAAGGCGTTGGTTCAAATAGTGGTTACTACTCGCACTTCTGCTGCTGGGCTGATTCCTTCGATCTGGAATAGATAATTATTTATTATATTAGATAATCAACAATATGTACCATAAGTTTAGGTTTAAATGTGTTATTTGTTCCCTTTTGCTTCTTTGAGATGGCGGCCGGATTCTAGAATGTATTTGAATCTTAGCCTGCTTAGATCCGAAAGAGTTGCCATGAATGACACAAATAGTTTAGGTTAGATTAGGAGAGATTGCGGGGGACTAACGCGTGTGCAAAACATGCGTTGCCCGGCAACCAGATGATAAATCGAAGTCTAGTAAGTTATAAAATAATCACGAGTTCGCTTCCCGGTGCCGAGGGAGTGATGGACTTTTAACTCTGGTATTAATCCACTGATACAACACTACTGATAGACACGAAGAAAATATGTTTAATAACAAAATACGTAGTTAAATAAACCCATTAAAATTAAATTGAAATACCCCTCCTCCCTTCTAGATAAGGATAAATGCGGCAAGTAGAAAATAATGACACAGAAAAAATTTCAATCACTGAGAAAATTCATAACGATTATTTGTTTGGAGAGAGTTATTATCAGAACGGAATCGAATAAATTATATTTATTTCACAATATTAAAATTTATTATATATTATGATAATTGCCCTCTTAAAATGGCAGGTTATTTACAATCGATTAGAAGATCTCTAGGCTTCGTCATCTTCCTTTCATATTTATTTAGCTCCGGAAATCTAAAAATAGTGTTCTCTGGGTGATCTTCAGATCGACCGCCATCTCGGAGTAACGGAAGCACAGTAAATGTTGTATTTCATTTACAATAATGTGTTATTTATCTTAAAGTAATATACTCACCCGTACTTCCGGCCTCTGAATAGTGATAGGCTTAAACTCAGGAAGAAAAGTGAGAACCATGAGACTCTGAGTCAGAGCGAGGAGCCATTCTGAACTGGTACTGACCAAGTGCCAACAATAGTCTGGATCCAGCGGCGTCCAATGGAACGAGTTCTCCGGCCCTAAAAAGAAGTTTGGTAAATATGTAATTAATTTAGAATGGCTTAAGGAGTATTGATACTTCCATCCAAACCAGAAAAACCAATAATTTTGAAAAAAAATATTACAGAAATAACCCGATTTACATATCTAGTTAATGTCTTTGATATATTGTTATGGATGTTGTAGTCGACGAATATTTAACCATGGCGTAGTAGTCGGTAGCCTTCCACTCCTAAGAAAGCTTGAGACTATTTTATATGCTGACAAGCACCGGTGTCGCATGATGCAACGTAGGTATTGACGGAAAAAATGCTCCTGAATGAACCTCATCCTTTCCAGAAGGATGCCCTGAAGTACGATGTTAAGAAGCAGGAGCGAGAGGTGCTTACTGAGGGATTCCAGGGAAATATCAGAAAAACTCTCAACCAGTGGGAGAAGATCATTAACGAAGACTTCCTCAAAGAATGGACTGGACAGTGGGTTGCTTTCATTAACGGGCCGAGCGGGCTAACGATTGTGCACAGCACCGCCTTTGCACGGCAACCTGATATGTGATTAAAATAATTACGAGTTCGCCTCTCGGTCTCTAGATGATCTTTTAACTCTGGCATTAATCCCACGCCCTTAACCCTTCGCCCAGGAAAATTCCCTTACAGCCTAAAAGGCGTGGATTGGAAGGGGGAAGAACGAAAACTACTATATATATATAACAATTATTACTTTTGAAAAAGAAGAAAGGTCCAAACTACGTATATGAAATGGTGTTTAAGTGATTCTTGAAGACCTACTAAATGTAATTACACGAAAAATAAAACTTTTAGAGATAATTTTTTTCATAAGAAATTATTATATTTTATCATTTTAGGGGAGACAGGAGGTTTCAACTCAAAAGCCTCCCCTAGATCCGCCTGTGGTTGCTTGCCTGAAAGGTGCAACGTTGAGAACGTTCTTGCCCACAGACTACTCGAGGTTAATGGCTAAATGGATCCTGCCGAACTACTTGGTTTCGCAGACAAGGAGGGATCCAGCGGGTAAACTACACGCACATGAAATATTGACCCCCGAGCCGTACCTATGGAAACCTCGAGACGGCTGACCATTTTACATGGTTCACTGCCATGGAAGAACATTGTGCTTGGCTGTCGATAAATACAGTTATCTTAACCTTCGCCTAGATGGACCTTCTCTGACTGAATGAACTACCCCAATTTTCCGTATGTTCGTCTACGGATTAGTCTTTCCACTTCACTCATGGTTGGGCACTGTCATCCAATATTCAACGAGTCGCCATCACTCGAGGATGAGAAGGCAGAAGAAGATGGTGGATGGGAACAACAAGAAATATGGAAGAATGACGAACAGGCCGGTTGCAAAGTGCTAGGTGGGTAAGATGCGAAGCCATCAGATAGGTACCCGTGCACCGGACCACACCACAGTTCACCAAAATTTATTGTTTCTTCATTAAGAGATCTTTAAAAAAAATATAATAATATATATACAAAGTAGAACTTGCTTAGACAAATCTTAAGATCCAAAAAAATAAACAAATAAAAGAAAAAATTAGATATACTATCAATGATAAGCTTTATTGACAGTGTACGTATATCCAAGCTATAACTAACTACCACCTAAACACCGTATGCTAAAAATGGTAGGTAATGAAAAAGAAAAAGAAAAGTTGACATGCACAGGAACATGTGACGAAATATAATTGCCAAAAGCATTTAAACTAGGTACAATTTTCCACTGTACATTATGGCTCCTGGCAAGTAAATTTCATTCGATATATCGATACCGGTGGATGCCAACATCCAAAAGTGTTCCGAGCATCGTTCGGGAGTGGATGTCGCCCGACTACTGCACCAAGTTTAAACGTTAGTTTTCTATAAATCTAGATCGGAATTGAGTAGATAGGCAAGTTCATTTCCTGTAGCAAGATGGATTTCTGTAATTGTGAATTAAACTTTAATAAAAAGTAGTTTATGAATCTACTAATTATGTTCTAATACGAATTTATAAATTTGATTCTAATAAATTCCTGTAGGCAAATTAATAATGTATTTGCCAAAAAAATATAATTGTTTAAACAAATAATATATTTAGTAGACATTTACCAGGTGCAAAGCCAGCTGATATGGCTGCCAGCAAGAGTATTGTTGACAAGCTGCATAGGACGCACCTACATATGAATATCGTTTTTCCATCATAGAGCTGCGCCATGTAGTAGGAAAATATCGTCTACAAAATACATAGAAGATTAAGTATATAAATGAACCACTGCTTTATATATTTATTAACTTACTTAACCCAGAACTTTGCATTTTTAAAAATTTGTATGACCTCTACACAATGGACTTAATCTGTAACAAATAATAATGATAATATCAATTTTATCCTCATTTAAACAATTGAGATTACTAAATGTGTCACTTGGTGATGTAGTGTATCCATAATTTCCAACTCAAAAATTAGATACTGTCCCTTTCTATAATACATTAAATCCCAACGTAAAAGACCAAAAAGAATCTCTCCCCCCTTATAAATCTGTCTACTCCTAAAAGTTAGTTTATACCAAGCGTACAAAAATTATTGCAAACGTTTGCGAACGTGTAACCTAGGTTGGAGTAAACAGAAGCCATGCAGATTCACAAATGCTTCTTTTTTTTTTTTTTGTTAGTGCTCAGATTAGTTTTGGTACATCAAGGAATTCGTTGTTTGAAGATTTGTTCGTTGTTAGTTTGAAGATTCCACGTTAATCCTACCAGAGGTGACCGCATCTTGTGGCATCAAAATTTTTGAGGCAGCATATTTTGGCTAGTTTTAAAATTTTTAATGGGGGTACATTTCGGCTGGTTTATGAATTTTCTGAATGAAAAATTCCATACTAAGAGACAAGAGGAAAACATTGAACAGACCGCAGCAAGTATAATTGTATGTTATCTACGATTTTTCTAATTTTACCTTTGCTTGCCCTGTTTTAAGAAAAATTGAGCAATAAAATATCTTGGGAATGAGAGGAATAGTTTCTTGCACCATCGACCTTGGAGGAGGGAGGACGGGAAGAAAGGTACTCCTGAATCCTGCTGTGCCTAATCTAATCCATACATTCCTCAATTATACTCGTAATTAAATATTACATTAAAATATTAAAATTGTAATAATTTTGGGTTAATGGTTGACTGTAGTGAATAATTGAAGAGAAGGACGGCTGGGATGATCAGTCAAAATAAAACATAGCAAAAATAAGTAATATTTCTTTTTATTTTTACATATGCCTAAAAATAAATATTATTATTTATTTTTGCTACTTTTTAGTTTGACTGATCACCCCAACCACCCTTCTCTTCTATCAAAATTGTCTATTATTATTTACTAGAATATCTTTTTATTAGGATTTTTAATATAAGATTGCCGCAGGAATATCCTACCTCAAAAAAACAATTGCCCTGATTACAAAATCTTTAAACAATAAGTGACACAGGGCAAACAATTTTTAAACCACTCATGTCACTTGTTCTCACTAGCGGATCCAGGATTTAATTTTTAGGGGGGCTTCAGCCCGAAAGATTTTTTTTTCCATATATACATAATAATTAATTTGAAAAAAATAAAGAAATTAATTACGTATATGAAATGGTGTTTAAGTGGTTCTTGAAGTCTCATTAAATGTAATTACACGAACAAGAATATTTTGAGAGATAGTTTTTAATATTTTTTTTTCTGTAAATTATGATTATATTTTACCATTTTGGGAGGGGGCTTCAGCCCGAAAGTCCCCTCCGTAGATCCACCTGTGCTTGTTCTTAAGTCGTGGACAAGTAGCAAAGAAGTGTTCAAAAATTGAAATACCCAACTCTACATTTTCTTTTAATACTAAACTAAACTAAATATTTTATTTTTCAACCTAAAGAGGTCCTAAGTTCAAATGTAGCATGATTCATTTATTTTCTAATCTTATTGGTAACATATGATAAACCTGTTGCTATTTTAAAATGAAGATTGATTTTGAGGAGAATCGATAAAAACGATTTGAGTTTGATATGGAATAAGTATTTTTAGTGCTATTACAGATAACTTCTGCATGATATAGTAATAATGAATATTAATACATTTTTCCATGGTTTTATTCTATTGTTAAACAATTGAATTCACTATACAAATTTATTGGAATTGAATCGAATCAAAAATTTATAAATTTGGACAACTTACCTTATACTATACTTATGATATATGTAAAAATTTAATGGACTCACCTGTAGAACAAAGTAGATAGTTCCGCCTAGGAAACACAAGCAAGCTCCCATGTAGTGTACCGATTTCATTTTGTTCACCTGTGCGTTTAATAATTATATATAAATTTGTAGATAACATTTATCTTCAGGTAAACCATTAAACTTATATAAGTTAAAACATTGTTCCTGTTACTAACGAAATAACAAACATATCATCACATTAGGACTATACCATCTCACGTGAATCAAATGTAGATATAAAGGAAATAGACGTTTAGAAAATATTACATGGCCATTGTGAACGATAGTGGATAACATCAATTGAGGCTTTGAGATTGAAAAGAGTTTAGATGAAATTTATTGCAGCGAAGATAAATATTTAAGAAATTTATTAAATAATAAACACATTTTTTTTCTTTTTATGTATATGTCCTCCTTTAGTAAATCAGTAACTGTTTTACATATTCACGTATTAGACAGGCGAGTAACCTAACTTATAGAACACATATAAGTTAAGACAGCTCTGTCTTCATTCATCTGTCATCTATGAATAGTGTGCTCTGGGTGATCTTGAAACTAGTTCCCATCTTAGAGTAGCGAAACAAAACTAGTACCACTATAAGTACTTAGGTCTTAATATTTTTTTATAGCTAAAATGTTATTTTTGTATCAAAATATAACTGATTAAAAAATTTCACTGTGACTACCATTGAGCAACGTTACTATAGCAACATCAGACGAAATGGGATTAGTGATACTTGTAACTGGCCATAAATATTTAAATGCCTTGATCATTTAAAATAAAAAGTAACACAACATATTTTCATAAATGTAACTTACAAATAATAGGTACATTTATTAGAATAAATGATTATTACATGGTTTAGGTCAGTGATCTTCGTTCACAACACAAGTGGTCTGCTTTGAATGACCTGGAGAAGGAAGACATGATCATTTTCAACGCTTGGAATAATATTCCTGACTCTTACGATCAGCTGAAAAAGCTCACGTTTGCTGTTCTTTCCCTTTTCGGTTCTACATATATATGCGAACATTATTTTTCAAGCATGAACATCATCAAGAGTAAACTGAGAAGTCGTCTTATTCATGAGAACTTGGAATCATGTCTAAAATTAAAAACTACATACAAACCTGACTTACTCAAACTTTCCAAGGAGCTGCAAGAACATTATTCGCGTTAATAAATATTTATTAAGTGTGAAATTTACAGTTTATACAGCTGATATCCTAAAACATCCTAACACTGTCATTACCACGTATGCCGATGATACATGTGTCCTATCAATTAATAACGACCCAACAATTTCATCCCAAACCCTTCAATCACACATCACAAACCTTGAAGAATGGTTTCAAAACTGGAGGATCAAAATAAATTTCAATAAATCCCATCAAATCACCTTTACCCTTCGTCGTAAACCTATGTCCTCTTGTCCTACAGTATCCTTTAATAATACCCCACTTATCCCTGTTGAACAAATTCGATACCTTGGACTCCACTTAGACAAACGTCTAACTTGGAATCCTCATACCAGACTGAAACGACAAGAAACTGCTCGACGTTTCCGACTACTCCAGCACTTACTAGACGAACGCTCTAAGCTCCCAGTCAATTACAAATGACTCATATATATGACAAGAATAAGACCTATTTGGACTTACGGAATTGAGCTCTGGGGCTCCACTAAGCCATCGAATTCCTCTCGTGTCCAATCCTTACAATCCAAAATCCTTCGTAAAATCCTCACAGCTCCTTACTTTGTCACAAACAAAATCATCCGTAACGACCTTAATGTTCCTTATGTTTCTGACCTGGTCCAATCCAGATACCTTTCCTTCCATAACAAACTTCACAACCATCCTAACCCTCTCGTTTCTAACCTTGCTTCCTTTTCGATCCCTGACAACCCTCCGAGGCGTCTGAAAAGAAGATGGCCTCGAGATCTCCTTTTATAAATACATTTTTAGAGTGCTACTAATGGGTAGCTTCTCAACAAATGATTTCATGCTATTATATTCTTTTGTTCACATTTACTGAATGTATTTTTACTTGTAATACAGTTGTAAATATCATCAATAAATAAAAAGAAAAAAAAAAGTATGAAATTTAGTTTTATCTAGTGTACTGGTCTATCAGTAAACATCCCCTTATTTAGTGTAATAAAATTTAGTGTAATAAACGTTTAGTAAACAAGCAGATTTGGCTCCCAATTTTTTAAAAAATTCTTGTAATGTTCGTATTTGGCTCTTTGGCTAACAAGTTTGCCGACCACTGGGTCAGGTAGATAGAAAATAAGTGGTTAATAGAATACAATGGAACAAGAATCATAGATAAAAAGAGGTTAGGAATGCTGGAAAGACATAAGATGAACATAACTATTCAAGCGTAGTAGAATTTATAAAAACCTACCGTAAACTCAACTTCTTAAATCTTTATATCCAGATACGTTGTTATAATAAAGATGATTTATCACAATGATAAATTAATTAATTATTTATATTTACCTGAAAATTGGCAACCATAGAGAGGCCAAGGCACGATCCGTATCCAATCCATGTTGCAATGCAATGGAGGCGCAGATGACGACCTATTTTGAATTTGAAGTTGGCGAATTTCGCTACCTGTAGCCCTCTGATATAGACACATCCCCCCACTGGAAAAAATAATATTGATACATTATCAAGATAACAGATATTAGTAAGTAGTAGACAGTAGATTAAAATTTAGAAAAAGTTCATTTAATGGAAACATAAAAAACATAGAGAAAATCTCCATCGGCCAGATACTCAGGTAGAAATAACTTATTTAAAAAAAAAATAAAGAAGCACTACTGTTTTTTATATTAAATCATTAATTAAGATCAATCCTTAAAATAGTGGTATGATTAATAATCATGATCCGTTCATTGACATGAAATAATTTTTTAATCTTTCTAATATCATGATTAAGGAACTTTGGTCTAATCAAGTAACAGAAAATGACCACCATGAATGATCTGCGCTGAAGGAAAATTGTTTCCTAGAGTAGACAAATTCAAAAACCTTGTCTCTACAATAACCTCAATGAAAGACCAACTGTCAGAAATAGACCAGCGTATAACTAGCCCAATTAGAGCTTTCTTAGCTCTTTCAAAGGTATTGAAATCTGGAAAATCCATACAATTCCCCTGGTTTATCAGTATCTCGTCATATGAAGGCAAAGAGGTAAAGATAAACATTAAGTTCAGAGCAACCCATCAAGCAACCACAAAACAACAATGAAAGCATCAAGCATCAGAATATCAGAATCGATGAAGATATTGTTGAGATGCACGCAAATAACTGAAAAGGAACAGCCTAAAATTGGCAGAGATGGAGAAGGCTGGATAAGGTTGCTGAAGTCAAAAAGGTATGTAAAGCTTACAGAAATAAATATATATCAAAATTGAACTTCATAATATATAAAATTAAATTTATTATAGATTTTCCAAGCGTTTTATAAAGTCATTTATGACTCCACTATAAACTGTGTTGACTATGTTACCCACATATTTTTGTTTTCAGCAAGGTTTTTTTATCCTCTGATGTTTACACATTTATTTAAATTATTATATATAAATTATTCCTCCAATCTTAAATTATAATATAATGTGAAATGTGAAGAAAGTTTAAACTTTAGTGTACAAATATTTAAAAATTAACAAGAAACTGAAAAAAACAATTTATTTAAATAATCCATTATATGTAGGAATTAGCTCTTTTCATCCCCTTGGTCATCCCAACCCTCTAGTTCATCTGTTCATCTGTTCATCTGTTGATGAACTAGAGGGTTGGGATGACCAAGGGGATGAAAAGAGCTAATTCCTACATATAATGGATTATTTAAATAAATTGTTTTTTCAGTTTCTTGTTAATTTTTAAAGATTTGTACACTAAAGTTTAAACTTTCTTCACATTTCACATTATATTATAATTTAAGATTGGAGGATAAAAAAACCTTGCTGAAAACAAAAATATTTGGGTAACATCACCTTTCATCCAATAGAATTCCTAACAACCCTCCAAGGCGTCTGAAAAGAAGATGGCCAAGGGACCTCCTAAATTAATTAATCTTTGAAGTGTTACCAATGGGTAGCTTCTTCCCAAGTACTTATCATGTTATATATTCCTGTAGCATATTTACTAGTTTTATATAGGTATACAGTTGTAAAATAAAATTAAAAAAAACCTATACTTAATTTTGAAACAAAGTATGACGATTTTAATAGATGAGTTCATATTTACTGCTGACTACTCTTATTAAATGCAGGTCATACTCAAACCTTAAAACTATGTTAAGCGTTTTAGAACTTTCTTCATTGCAAGTTCAATCCAATTCCAAAAACAATAATAGTGCAAAGAGCATTGAACGATAAAACAAAATTCGTGAGCGGCTGACCAAACAACTCATAATCCATGATTTGGAGAATTACTTGGAGGAGACGAGACTGCTGCTAACACACTTAATCCTTCCTTATATTTTTACTTTCACTTTTCTATGTATGATGTATATATAGCAAAGGAAAGTATTGCGATCGTGAAAATTTGCGAATCTCAGAAATATATGTTTTGAGGTTCCCTGAGTCCAAATAACCAAGTCCCGCAAAATGGTCTGTATGTGTTAATAGTCCAGTTCAAAAACGAAAAGTCGTAGGCAAGTGAAATTGCATATTCAAGGTTTTTATATGTTAGGGATGTTACAGCAACTTTTTCGTCAAAATCGGCCAACCGGAAGTGGCACTTTAAACCATTAAATTCAATATGTCAATGTAAAATTAAGAAATTTTAAATAAAATGTAGTTTTTATTCTGATTGATGTTCTCTAGCAGGGCTTAATTTTCTACTTTTTAATATTAGATTTTGATTTTTTTTTTTTGAAACAATTGACCATTTCACATTTTATATCATTCTAGTTATATATAAAATATGAAAGAATTTGATAATTAACTAAGGGAGAAATAACAGATCGTAACGGAGATTAGTTGTAATTGAGGAACCAAAGGAATACGAGCGCACCCGAGCTCGCTCCAAATATTAGAACACGCTTCCATGCGTAACATGAGCTCAATATAATATGGACTCCGACAATATTATATAAATAAACTGCTACTATTGGTATTATTTAATATTTAATTGTATAGATTACAGCGATATAAATATTAAAATTTGTGTGTATAAAGGTACTCATACAAAATATCCACAATGAAATATAAATAAATATATCGTTTATAATTTTTACTTTCACTTCCTCGTTGTCTGAAAATACTTATTTCTGCTAAGAAGAGGGTGGTAAGTGAAAGTTGTGTTATACCGCACCCGACTTTTCTCTTCTATTTCCTTGTTTTGTTTTCCATTTTTCGTCCTGTTTTGTTATAAAAAAAGATCGACATAATGGGACAGTCAAAAGTACTCATGTCTGACCAAAGTAATTCAATCTGCACATTCACAACCTTACCAGAATCTATTTCATCTATTTCTATTTCATAATACGCTGGATTTTAATTAATGAGGTAACAATTGAAAGGGAATTTCAAATAGAAGTGATGAATCTCAATTTCGTTACTTAAATTCCTTTAATAGCTTTAACAAAGTCATTGAAAACCCTGCGAGATTTTGAAATTCAGGTGGTTTCAAAAGTCGACGGATCGAGACCGGATATATTTTGTTTTAAAGATTTCGACGCGGATATTAAAGTGTTTTAAAGCCCTAAAGCGTACCGGTTTTTGAGATAAATCATAATTCTTTCTGCAAGGTTATCGTGAGATATGGTTACTATGGGATACTAATAAGATGCTCAGTTTTTAAAAATTAAAATATTGCTAAAATCGATTGGAAAGGTAGCTGTTTGACCTCTTTGGCACCTCGGATTCCGAGAATGATCGGAAATCATTTTGTAAGACTTGGTTATCTGAATGTAGATGAGCTTAAAGAATGTATTAGAATATTAAAAAACACGAATTAAAAATTTTCATTATTGTGATGTGGCGGTAAATAAGAATAAAGGGAAAAAAAAGTTTAGACTAATTTTTTATTCAAAATATAATTTAAAATGAATTTTAATAAATAAAAATTAATCAAAATTTTAAAACAATTTTTTTTACATTTATCATACTCTTTGTACTCCAGTTAGCTGAATTTAAAATTCCTTCTACTCTATCCAGAACTACGGTGAATATGGATTTTCTCAAGAGCCAGAAAAAAAATCTATATGATTTCTCATATTTATTTTATGAATATATATATGTATATGTGTGTCGTCAATATATATAAATATTCTCTTCATCAAATATGATAAATAAAGTAACATACAAACAGATAAATAAAAAAAAAAATTAAGAATTTTCTGCATCAGATCTACCAGCACATGACAGGTCTAGTTTATTGAGCGAAAATGTAATAAGACAAATATTTCGTAAAGATTGTTTCGATTTCCTCTACAGTAAGAAAAAATGGAATCATACATATTTTAGTTCAATATTTGCACTTATTGTTAAGAATGAGTTACAATTTTTAAGAATTTATATAAGACTATTAGCTTTCTGAAATGTTTCTGTTTATGTTATGAACATAGAAACCCTGAATGATGTAATTTTTTGTTTACTAATTACTAAATTTTTATACAACCTTGGGTTGTAAATTTAACTCCCGTCAAGGTGGTTACACACGTGGCAGCTTACTAGAAAAGCATGGATAAATAATATTTTTACACAAATATGCTTGACCGTCTGTAGTATATTTTTGCTCAAACAATGTTATTTCATGTGTAAATTATCATTCTTTACAAGCTGAGGAAAGTTAGAAACAAGCAAAGAGGCATTTCGAATAACTTTTATCTTGAAACGTTGAACTAATTTAATAAGTTTAATGAATCTAGCTATTTTTTTTAACGTTCTATAATCAGTTGTTTTTGATAATGACATTCCGCGAATGTGAATTTTCATTTTTCTTCTTTTGTATTTATTATTAGTTTTTACTTCTTATTTTTTATATGGTATATTTATGAATTTTGGTTGGCAATTTTTTTCTGATCACCTGTTCGATTATATGCCATAGTAATCTCTCGCACTGATTGGGTGAGAATTTGATCAACAATGGCCCTTAACATTGCTCGTTTCAATGTCATGTGGGCGACCAGACCGTTGAGCATCATTGAGGTCACAATTTCCTGAATGAAATTTTCCAAACCAATTTTGACAGATGCGTTCGGCTGAGACACCATCCCCATACACACTGCAAATTTTTCTATGAGCTTCTGCAGCACGCTTACCTTATTATAATAATACAACAAAATATGCCGATAATGAATGGTATTTTCTTCTATGGTCACAGAGCAATAGCAAACACAATACTAAACTAGTTTCAACATGAGTTAACAGATATAATTGTTGACATATTACAAATAGGATAAACAATCCACCTTAGGAATTAATTCATCAGATAAGAAGTGTATCATAGTGATATATAAATAAACATAAAAGTCGAAAGGACTTATTTGCCAGCCCAATATATATATATTTTAATGATATATCTTTAAAATATTGTTGTAAACATGATGCCTGATTGGATACGAATTCCTAGAACGATAAGAGGAGAGGAATCGATACGAAAATGTGCCTTCCTAATGACCACTAATGTCCTGATGTTCTCTCAGAATCTCAATAGAGTTGGAACAGGACAGGGTATTCCTTTCTATTTTTTTTATTTTATTGATATCAACTAAACCTTTACTGTTAATTATCTTGAGGTGCTTTGAGGTAATTTCACATTTCCAGAATGAAAGGATAAAGATATCTTTAATAATAATCCAATAAGATAGTTTTAGTTAGCAAATATTAGACAGAAGTCACTTTTTTTTTGTTTTTACCTGTTTTCAACAGATTGAATAATTCAGAACATACTGATTTACTTAAAGAAAACAGAAAAATAGAGAGACTTACATTTGTCTTGAGCAAAACATTTATAAATAACCAAACTAAATATATGATCTTTTCTGATAATTTTTTTTTTTCGTGATGCAGATATTAGATTGTACCAAAATAATGAAGGATTTCATGTTTTCTTTATATTAACACTCTATGTATAATACTGTTTAAGTTTGAGTTCATTGTTTTGTATGAATCTTAACACTTATCACTCCTCTTCCAAACAAAAATATTATTTATCTTATTTAGCTTTTTACTAATAATTCAGTGTTTACACTAAAATTTTGAGGTTCGATTATCGGATGACTTCGCAGTGCGAGTTCGGTCGGAATGGAGAAGAGCTTTTGAGGAAGGCATATTTTGGTGGAGTTTTGAATTTTTGTGGGGAGCATAATTCGAAAGGATTATGAATTTTGCGAATCTAATGTTTCAAACCAGGGTTAGGGAAGAAGGGAAAATATTGACCATGGCAAGTGGAATTGTATAAGATCTATGATTTTACTAACTCCACTTTCGCGTTCACTCCTTTTTAAAAGAGGATAATAATTAAATTTCAAGGAAGAGGCGATTTATGCGCCATCGACCATGAAACATTAATGATGTCTGTGGTAATGGTAGTGTGAGTGGATTCACCGTTTAACGATGGTTTGAATGCAAAGATGGCCGTGATTTGATGGCGATGTTATGCTAGCTTTGGTAGAAGAAAATCCCAGAAAAACTATTGGAGAATCTGTAGGAAAACTCTCAGTTAACACATTGGTCATCGCTGACTAACTCAATACAATTAAAATACAGTTCCTTATACTCTAAACAACCACCAAAAGAATCATAGTGGCGACGCACTTCTTGGACGAAAAAAAAAAAAAAAAACTTCACCGAACCTATCCGTGACCTATCGCTAACCTACAGTTTTTAAGACATCTTGACCACTTTTTAAAATGTGAATATTTTATTGATCAAAATTGGTTAGAAGATCCATTTTCAAAATTTTTTAATAATAAAGATTCAACATTTTGTTCTAACACCTTATCGAGAGTTATGTAGCCTAATAAATATAGTTTTGTAATATTTATTTTATTTGAAAACCAAAAATTTGCAATAATTTCTGGACAACGCGATAAAACTACAACAGGAAACAATATGTAAGCTTGTAATATTTTTTTAGTAAAAACAAGTTTGACTATTTTATAATTTGATCATTTATTGACTTATTTTTATCTAATCGTCAGTTTTCTTATTTGTGTGAGAAATTTTGCCACAGATTATCATTTTAGATTTCTTCCATCCAATTGATGAAGAACCTTCAACTCAATATATAGCTAAAGGGTGAAACATGGTAGAAAGTAAAACTTGCAATAAAGTTAATAATTCAAAAGACGAAGGACTGGGGAGGCGAAAATAAATTGAAGAAAATATATATTTTCATCAAACATCTCTGAAATCCTATAATCGTGTTTTGGTGTTATAAAACAGATATAAATTACACATCCATTCCTATCCGATGATTTTCGATACCATTGTTATAATCTATTTTTTTAGGGAAAGTACAACTTTTTTTTTATTTGTTAATGATATTTACAACTGCATTAAAGAAATACATCTAGTAAATTTTTACAAATGGATATATTGACGTGAAAACAATTTTTGAGAAACTACCCACTGGTAGCACTCCAATTACATGTTTACATTAGGAGATCAGGGGACCATCTTCTTTTCAGACGCCTCGGATGCTTATCAGGAATTTAAGAGAATGCAAGAAATACAGTCATGCAAGAAACGAGAGGGTTGGAATGGTTCTGAAGTTTGTTATGGAAGGATAGGTATCTGGATTGGGCCAAATCTGAAACATAAGGAACATTAAGGTCATTAAGGATGATTTTATTTGTAACAAAGTAGGGGTTATTGAGGATTTCACGAAGGATTTTGAATTGTAAGCGTTGGACACGAGAGGAATTCAATGGTTTAGTGGAGCCCCTAAGCTCAACTCCGTAAGTCCAAATAGGTCTTATTACAGTCATGTATGTGAGTCTTTTGTAATTAATCAGAAGTTTATAGCGTTTCTCTACGCTATAAACTTCTACGCTCTGTTGGAGTAGTCGGAAACGTCCAGCGGTTTCTTGTCGTTTCAGTCTGGTATGAGGATTCCAAGTTAGACGTCTGTCCAGGTGTAGTCCTAGGTATCGTATTTATTTAACAGGGATAAGCGGAATATTGTTAACGGAAACTGAAAATACACTTAAAACAAAAAATCATAACTAATTCGATAATATTAGTAAAACAAAAATATTTCTATATTCTCTGATGGAGCATTTTCTCCATAAAATGATAACGATTTTTATTTCTGAAACTATGATCGTTCAAAAGTATTTGATAATGTTTCTTACCAAAACCACTGATCGGAAAACGTAATCCTATAACTTTTTTTTTAGGCTTTTCACCCTCCATTAAAGCTTCATACCCCGAGTTCGTCAATTCAAGCGTACTTTATAACCTATATTAATCAATGTTATTAATTAATCGGTATGATTTATTAGTCAATACTTACATAGTAGCGCAGAGATATTGATGAACTGAGAGAAGATAGAACTTTCAGGACTTTCTGCGCCTGTGTCGCTGATGTAAGGAAAGAGAGGGTAGACATGTTGGTAATAGACGCTCAGGAGGTACCTGTGCCAAATAAACAACAATAATTATAAATGTATAGATGAGATTATAATAATTATAAAGATAATAATTACTTTTAAACAAATGTATGCATTAATATTCAATGTTGTTCACTTTTCTGTCAAGAATCAATTAAATATAGTATAAGTCAAATCTTACAACTACATCATGTAAAAGTTTATGCAAAATTTAAAAAATATTGAATGTTTTCTATAATATCAAGTGGAAATAATAGTTTCCATCATACTGCAGTTCCACTGTATACATAGCGAACCCTAAATAGTTAACATAATAATAATATTTTATTTATTTTGGGACGAGTCCTGTTAGAATAATACGGAAAGATAGAAATATGGGCTAAAGAGCCACAGAGATACAAAAACAAAAACACAAAGTAAGTAAATAGTCACAATAAAAAAACAAAAATTTGAAAAAAACATGAAGTAAAAATAATTAAGAACGATATGATGATTTATATGTATATTTACAATTTTATGGAAACTGGATGGATAAGAAATTATTTAACAGGCGGATTTAAAGGTAGGGTGGGTATTGAATTGACGTATGTAAGAAAGGATGGAGTTCCATAGGGTCAGGATATATATGACCCTTGTAATAATAAAAATAATAACGCTTTATTTATTCTAGGACAAATCCCTTTAGAATAATGTTCAGAGATAGAAATGTGAGCGAATAATTACAAAATAAACAGATTTATACAATTAATAAACAGGAGGAAGGAATATTATTTACCTTTAAACTTCAATTAAGAGAAAAAAAAATTAAATAAAAGTATTTAAAACAAACTAATTATTTATATACATATTTACAACATCTATATACAACTTTATGACAACTGAACCGATGAGGTGATTAAACAGGTGAGATTTAAAGGTGGGGAGGGTACAGTAGCGACGGATGTAGGAAGGGATGGAGTTCCATAGGGATGTGGATCGGATGAACGATCTTTCGAAAGCAGTGGTTCGGTGGACCCTTATCTATAAATAAGGAAACCGAGAACGAGTATTGTGCAAACCAACGGAGTATTTGAATTGAAAGAGCTCGGAGATGTATGAAAGATGGCGGGATTGGATGACTTGGAAGATGAAGGATGCCACGATGGTAGAAAGGATAAAGTCACTTCAACTCTCCATAAAAACGGCAAACAGAGGTGCACCTTGTGATCTTAAAGATGAATCGTACAAAGCAATTTATCAAACGTTTTAATTTCGTCTCGAGATCCCCAGAGACGTCCCCATATATCGCACAGCAATAGTCAAAGCGGGGAAATATTAAGGAAGTGACTAGGAGTCTACGGGTTCCAAGGGGAAATAGGTAACGGGAGTAATTTAGACATTTTAAGGTGAAAAAGATACGGCGGAAGATCAAAAGTTATTTCAAAGTTTTTGATAGTGAGGTAAAATTTGAAAGAATTATCAGGAATATCAGAATTATGTAGGAACAGAGTTGGAATATTAGGAACAGATTTAAGGATGTGATTGGAGCCTATTAAGCTCTTGTCCAGTCACATTCAGTGCATAATAAATTAATAAATTGTATTGTGTTTATTTGAGATAAGTATGATAGTCGAAAGTGGTTTGAAAGTCGAATCACCTGTTCAATAATCTTAATTATATTCCAAGTATTATTTTGTAATCTCTTTGGTTTATTTGAAAAATGTCTGTCTTCTCCATTTAAATTAATCAAATTATAATTTCAAGTACTATTAACGAGTGGGGTTTTGAGATATTGTTATATTGCAACATTGCTAGATATCTGGACGTCCATAATATATGAACTTCTTTTATAGAGAGGCTTTTATAGATTAGCCAAGCACGGCGTTCATTAGTGAATGTGTTTAGATCTCAGCGTCACTAAACACTCTTTACATACAATTCTATTTCTTTGGCAGGCTTAAGTCACTTTTATTTGGTAGTCATACATCAAACGTTCCAAGCATGTAGACTTGGTGTACCATCTGTTAAGCAGTAAACCTCCAATGAAGCTTCCCATTTCTAACTCTCAGGGTTATCCAGTAATGCATTGGATGGCGCAAGTCTCACAATAAAACTTTCTGAGAGGAGCGCATTATGGAGTATTACATTTTAAAGGTGGGCACAAATTTACAGGGTTGTGAATTGTTGGATAGAACAAAATTTTTAGGACAAAATAATTTCACCACAATTCATATATTTCTAGTTTTCATCGCACTTTTTTTAAGAATATGCGAACAATAATGTTTCTTGGGAGAGGAAGATGGACACCTCTACAAGAACCGACCTTTTGAATACACTTTTATCATTCGATTCTTGATGAAACCCCCAAAAAAAGTTGTTGCAGATCATCTGAAGAAACTATGTGGCATTATCTCGTATCTATGTATATATTATTTCTCAAAGTTTTTATTTTATTTTTTTGTCGAAACTTCATCAAATTTAACGATTGAGCCCTCATTTTGAAGATCTTCTTCCCCTTAGGGTAGGAAAAATAATCATCTCACCGCAGCGGTACCCAGAAGGGGGTTTCATAGCGCAAGTTGCCCCATCAAAATTTTCGAGGGGAACATATTTTGAAGGAGTTATGAATTTTCGGACAAAGGGAAAAGGGAAAAAACATGAAAAATATTCCGAAGCAAGTGTAATTGTATATGATCTTAGTTTGCTTTGTTTTTAAGAAAATGTGGGTAATAAAATATTTTGGGAGGAAGGGAGGGAGAGGTAGATTCTTGCGCCATCGACCTTGGGTGGGATTTGCTGATTGATTTTGCGGTTTCTACACTAAACGATATATTCTGCGAATTATTCTCAAAATCCAACTAGTTAGATTTTAAAATAATAATTCTAATAAATGAAAGTACATCCTTGGATAATTTTATGATTATAGACCATCTTACAGGATCCTATTAGAACAAATATATATGATTGGGCCTTTGGGCTTTTTGGATATCCGAGGTTCTGTGGGTAAGGCAGTAGCACAGAACAATAAATAAAACTGACGGTCTAAAATAGAGCAGGCGAACTATGACTTCCCGATAGTTTGCTCCGAGCTATATGTCACGCCTATCTTAACCTCCTTGACTTCATATCGTGAGATATTGATTGACCAGTTTTTTTGTAAGCAGTTCTGTATTAGCCCTTCTCCTCTAACTGTCACTATTATCATCCCAGATAGTTCCGATTATCGTGCCGAGATTTTTTTATCTCAAATCTTTTAATACTTCTTTCTAGGGTGCTGGTAAATGTCCAGCTATCATAGCCATATATCAGAACTGACTTTATTGTATGTTTTTTTTTGGGTCCTCCTCTTCCTCGCCTTTAAGGCTATAAGGGGTTTTCCCGGGCCAGGGAGTGAGGGCGGGGATAGCTGTGCACACTCGTTAGCCTATTCGGCCACCACGCCCACTTTATCTCTTTGGGCTTGTTATACACAGTTCTATTTCCAACCATTCATTAAGGTTATTATGGAGTCGATGTATTTGCATTAGTCTACCTAAGGAACGATTCCCTTTTTAATTAAATGCTATTATTGAAGTGAAATTTGGTTTAGTAAGTTTTTTTGGAGTAATTTACTCCAAACTAGCTTTGATAAGTTACTTTAAGTAACTTATTTACGAATAAGAAAAAAAAGTAATGTTTTTTCAAACAGAGAACGTCAGATTCTCTTTGTACATGATTGTTACCTCTAATCTTAGAATCAACTCTTTACCTACGATTTGCTAAGACAAGAGATAAATTAAATCACTTGAAGCATCCATTTTATACAATTCAAACAGAGCCGCCATTGATGATTCAATACAGTTTCAAGACAAAAATAAAATAACATATGAAGATAATTTTCAAAGAGGACCGCTTAAAAATGTATTACTTAATGTATATAACTAGGCCTGCTGTCAAATTACCTATGACTAGATAAGCGTTATCAGTTGGAGTGGAAACACTAGAGATAAGCGAGGAGATCCGCTATGAAACATCTGTTACAGGTCGTGCTTATCTCGCATGAGGGAAGAGTGTCTGGTGTGTGATATCATTCGGTTAATTCAATTGTATAACTTTATTTATAAGGAGAGATGCTTACTCCTGACTAAGAACAAACACTTAGTAAGCAAATTAATAACCTAAAGTAATTTTCCCTGATTTTTATAATTACTCCATCACTGTTTCCAATGTCTAATACATTTCAGCGTAAACTGAGTCCAGAAAACAAAACAGATACTTTTGCCATTATATTGATGATTTCCAAATATATCTATCCTTCCCGCCCTCCAACCTATTATCAGCCACAGAAAAACTTCAAGATAACTTGGATAGAATTTGTGTCTGGGCGAGAGTTAACAAGTTGAAGTTGAATGCGGAAAAGACGAAGGCAATCTTATTAGGCTCCAATCACCTGCTTAAAACTGTTCCTAATACTCTAACTATATTCCTACATGATAATCCCATCAAATTTTATTCCTCAATCAAAAACCTTGGAATAACCTTTGATGAAACGCTTTTCTGAAAAACCATGTATCCAATATTTCCTGTTGTACCATTTTCACCCTAAAATGTCTGAATTATTCTCGACACCTAGTTCCTTTTGAGACCCGTAGGCTCCTACTCACTTCCTTAATTTTTCCCCACTTTGAATATTGCTGTACAGTATATGAGGGCATCTCTGGGAATCTTGAGGCGAAATTAAAACGTTTGATAAATTACTTTGTTCGATTCATCTTCGGGATACCAAAGGAAGTCTCTGTTTCCTATTTTTATGCAGAGTTGAAGTGGCTTTTGTTTACAATTATCATTATTAATATATCTATCTTTTGAACATTTATATAGAGTGAGTCGAGAGAAAGGGCCAAACTCCAGTAATGGGTTGCACTCAGAAAAATATTTAAAAATAACATCTATGATTTTTCGATTTTCATTTGTGTAAATGTTATTGGATTCTTAAAAAAGAAACAAAATTTTACAAATAAGCAATATTTCATACATGTATTAGCATTTCGGTTATCGAAGTCTTAT